TTTGTGTACTATAGTAAAAAAAATAAAATTAAGAAATTTTATTTTGAATTTTTTTGGGGGACGGAAATAATTTTTTGATATTTTTTAATCATTATTTATGTTATACATTTATTTTAGTACATCAAAAATAATATATTTTTTATGTATTAGGTTCCTGATGTCCAAAATCGTTGCTACACTTAATTCAGATATCATCGGAAAAGATCACTTCTGGGAGATGAAATTTTCTCATTAAGCAATTTAATCGTTACTACATGCCTTTGATAGGGTTTTGAAAACATTTTATTACCTATTTCCGGACCCAAAAAAAAAGGACAAACGAAAACACAAAATTCAGAACCAACCAAGAGGTATTAATGTGACTTTACTTTTTTTTTTTTTATTTTTTGTGTACCAAGTAACTCTCATCAACTATAGCACTAAACACCTTTACTATTAAGGACAGTCATCAAATTGAAATTCGTTAGAGCTGAAATCCTAATATCGTTGCGAACACTCACACGACGTAGCCTACTATACGGGTGAAATAGTCAATTAAGGCACAAACATTGTCTGCTATTTATTAGAATCGGTGCTGATCGGAGAATTAATTAAGGTACTCAATATTTAGTATCATTGTGCAAAAAAATCATCAATAATATTTCCTCTGGCCCAGAAAAATTATTCACATTGAATATCGAGAGTTGTGGAGTATATTAAAAAGAGCATCACCTTTGTTTTTAGAATAATAAAATGTTGTTTTGTTCACATATAGTCCTGGCTACAGGAGGAATCCAAAACTTCACCAAATATTTTGGAGGTCATTCAAAAAGTTCGACATGACCAAATCAGCTGAGGCAACGCATACAATACCTCTGCCAAATTCAATAAATTTCACCTAGAATTTCACTCACTGGCCTCCCTGCCAAGTGCTATAAAGTTCATCTTTAATTTAATTCCGGATCATTGGCCTCTGGCAAGTGCAGAGTGTTTTTAAACCTGTAATTCAATAACCAAGGGCAAGGATGGTGTAATGGTGATAAATTGTTCGTCGAAACAGAGTTTGGTGGGAGATAGTAATGGTTAATTCTTGTTCAATAAATTCCCCTCGCTCCATACTCCACGTCTGAGAATACCACCCCACGGTCACTTCCTAATCTTAAACATTTATTTTTTTATTTAGGTAAAGTTTTTGGTGAATAAATTGAGTTTGAGGATATTTAGAGGTCCAAATCCTTTCAGAGATCTTTGGTTAAGCATTCTGTCTGACAACTTCTCCAGTCTAAGTGTGTTTATGTTCTTCCATGTCAATACAAAATAAAATCCTTTCTTCCTTTCCAAGGATTTTTGTGCTACACATGCACTAGCTGAAATTGAAACATGGTTTTGTTCTGCTAGTTTATAAATCACTAACATTTTTTCGGTTCGTCTGCAGCCTCTATTTCAAAAGTACTGAAATCGGTTCCAAAATTCATATGGATCTTGAATTGGAGCTTTGCTCCGCTACTGTATTTCGGCTTCCTAGAATTCCTCGCTAAAATGTAAGTTCCATATAAATTTTTGGAAATATTTTCTTTTTTTTTCTTTGGTTTTCTTTTTCACAAAATAAAGCCAATACGCATATAGTCAAACGTAGAGGAGCGAGTTATTGTGTTGATACTTATGAATATGCCATCGGTACGTATTAATGAATGAGGGGTGGTACCAGCTGACTTGCCTACTTTGTTAATCGGAAATTTGTTTTTTTTTTTCAAGAGTAAATTACCAGTAAAACATAACCTGTCGAAATTTGGATTGGATCTGACCAAGAAATCCCAACACTGCCTGCTTATATTACTATGTTCAAGATGATTTTCGTCTGTCTTTTCAGGAATTGCATTGGGGTTACTTTCGCTGCTCAAGGTCCTTTTTTTTTCCCCCCAATCCTGCCTTATTATTTCATAATATCTTCTGTGTTTTACTCTTCATTTTGACTTTCGGTTTATAACTACTGCTTTCTATAATGTTTATAAATTGTTTTCAGTCTCAAGAGAAATGACAAACATCTCCTCGTTGCTGCCGACTCGAGAGAGATTCTGGGACGACTGGCTTCATTAGTACTACTCTGAAGATTATGGGCCAAAATCGTTGATCGATGGAAAGGTCCACTTCGCGCGAACTTCAATGCCGACTGAAGAATTAAAATGAGCAACTCATGACAAGATGTGGAGAAATGTGAGACGATGAATATACTAGCAAAAACTAAACTTTAAATCAAATCTCATGACAATGATATTTCAAACTAATTAGGTTCTACCAAGCTCGACAAATACACCTCAACCATCTTATAGGATTGCAATTACTTTTATTTTGTAGGATTGGTACAGCGTTAGTTTCGAATATAATTGTGAACTTCTTTATTGTGCACAAATGGTGTTTAGCTCAAAATGTTTGCAAGTAAGATCGGTTGTTTAGCCTCTCGATTCCATTATATAAACAAGCCTCTGCTTGTTTAGCCTTTAATGAATTTCATTTGTTTTCATTGAAAACTTGGTACAACAGTTACATAAATAAATTTTTTTTACCCAGTAAGATCTCTTTCTCAAAACTCAGAAATGAAGTGCTCCTTTTATGTATCGACAGATATATCTAACCTTACTCCAACCCACGATCAAGATCGGTTGAGTATCAAATTAATTTGCAATATGCAAAAACCGTAAGGAACACTAAGAGCTAGCTAGGATCTACTCGAAATCCAGAAGAAAAATACCGGATACCCTATCCTAACCTACTAAGAACCCTTGATATTTTTCATTTTATTGGGTCGACATAATCGATATATTATTTTTTTGTCGGCTTCATATACTTCCTCCATGGTTCCAACATGTATATATTGTGGGTTACTTCATATCAATTATGAAATTGAAATCCTTGAGTATACTAAGCACCAAATGTGTTGCGAAAACTTAGATAAGATCAGTTTAATTCACATATAAAAATCGAAACAGGAGAACATTTGATCTTTTTAAATAAGTTCGTGGTGAACATGAGATATTTTTTCTCTAAGTAATTAATTAATACGTAGTGTAGGATTGTTAATGTATTATAACCTTTAAAAGAAAACAAATTAACTTTAGAAACTGAACTATTAATATTATGAATTGGATATTATGAGAGCAAAGCAAAAGGGAAGAGTTATTATTCTTAATTTGTTCTGAAATTGTTTTTTTTTTAAAAAATAGGAGTAGAGGAGATGGAGAAACGGAACAAGATGAGGATCAGAAGAACAAGAATTGGACAGTAGCTAGGTTCGGAAACGAGGTTGTACTTAAATGAATGGATTGGCATAAATCTAACATTTATCTTGACATTACTTTACATTCACGGAAGTTCTTTTTTTTTTTTTTTCTAATAGCAAATTACCACAGAAATTATCTTGGAGAAGTTATAATACATCTTACCCCATAATCCTATCATATTTGTGACATGTCAAATTTATATTGATTATGTTTTGACTCCATAGTTTATTTAAAAATCAATCTGGACCTTAAAAACTTTGCTATCGATAATCCTACTGAAATCAAATTCTTCTTTTGTTTTTCCCAACGTGATAATGTTATGCTTGCATGATTTGAATCAGTGATTCATATATTAAGAGAATACGATTGCGAAATGCAAATTATTTCAAATCTCAAAAGGGGGAGTAAACGGTCTTCGAGAATCATTCTGAAGATTATCGGGCCATAAAAATTTGATTGATACAAGTAACTACTCTTACAACAAAACATAAAATCTAAAACCGACAGTTATCAAGTCAGCTTTTGTAACAGTCCCACATATGTGTTATCATTAAACTTCATACATTTGCATAAATCTGGCAGTTTTTTTGGACTTGCTCTTGTAAATTGACACGTTTTTCTTAAAGTCGTGGGTTATGTTTAAATGAAGAAAATGAAGGAAATTAAAACAAACACGGCTGGGGAGTTCGTCAAACATTTAACTGGAAATAGACAAGATTAATTGAATTAATATATTAGCATATCCTCACATGATTCTATGGAAATTAAAATCACTCTTCTCTGGCAAAATAACATATGCAGTGGTTCTCCAAGTTTTTACTCTTAACTCTTTAAAATCAGTCTAAGAAAAGGATTTTAGGAAGCAAGTATTTCTGTTTTGACTTGGATTCTGAAGATTATTTAACAGTTGTGTTCAGATGGTCTAGTCAAACCGAGAATAACAGTGTTGCAGGTATAACTAACTAGGGGAGTCTTCATCTCTAGATTCCAGACATAAAGTGGGATAATTTGCGAAAATTGAAAAACTAATCGAAGTATGAACTATGAACATCGTTTATGCTGTAATTGTTTAAGAATTTGATCTGGTGAATATATGAGACGTACTTTACCCTGATCAATCGAATATGATTCCCCTTTACCTATACATATTATGTACTCTTTGGGTTTGAATTTAAAAATTTACTGTTTAACATTCTTGGAATATGAAATAGACCCAAAAAAAAAAAAGAAATAAAAGAAAGAACCCAAAAAGAGAATCGAACTGAGGATATATTACACGCAATCATGTTACTAGCCGATATTTTTTTGATATAATGTATGAGGCAAAATTCTAGTGGCTAAATAGGTTTAGGATATGTTACTATCGCATACTGCTAAAGTAAAACGATAATAAATTTAAAAGGTGATGACTTAATAATTATTTTTTCTCTATCATAGAACCTATCAAATGGGTACACTCATATACCCGCGCTTTACAATAGTTTACAATCTTTTGCGAAAACAAATATTGCATGCAACCTATACGATTCCTTATTTGAGACAAATTTTTTTTCCGTTTTATTTTTGTTTCAAGAGGAACCGACTAAGCTAAGTATACAAAAATTTAGTCAATTCAGTGGACAATTTGATTTCGTCAAGTATCAATATATCGGCCAAGTAATATGCCGTGTGGATTCACACACCATCAAGCAAATATAAACACGAACAGTACTACTACTATAAATACTCCTCTTCAGGGCTATACAAAACTTCATTACCACTACTTCATTTTCATGCAAACTTGCACAACACAAAATCAACCAAAAAAATGGCAATCTCAAATTCAACATTTTTCACAACCACCCTTTCCCTTTCCATGTTCCTCCTCCTCTCACTTCCATCGCCGTCGCTCGCCGCGGCCAAGTGCAACGCAAATGACAAAGCTGCCCTTCTACAGATCAAAGCAGCCATGAACAACGCCTATCATTTTGCCTCATGGGATCCAAACACCGATTGTTGCTCGTGGTACGATGTGACTTGCGACTCTTCCGGCCGTGTGATTAGACTCGAAATTTTTGACGATACCGATGTCACCGGCTCAATCTCGCCGGCTATTGGCAACCTCGTTTATCTCCAAGAGATAGACATAAACGCCCTCCCAAAGCTGTCCGGAAGTATCCCTTCAACCATCACAACACTTACCCGTCTCACGTTTCTCCGGCTCAAAGGTAACAACCTCTCCGGCCCCATTCCGACCGCCCTGGGCAACCTCAACAAGCTTACTTTCTTGGACTTGTCGTCTAATTCATTAACCGGTTCGATTCCAGCTTCGGTCACTAAGCTGACAAACCTCGATGGGTTTGACTTTTCAAACAATAGCCTTTGCGGAGCGATCCCGCAAGGTGGAAAGCTTCAGAGCTCCGGCACCAGTCCTTATGACAATAACAAGTGCTTGTGTGGTAATCCTCTTCCTGCATGCAGCTAAGAGGATGTTTTATTATCATTATGCGGGCAAATTGTGAAAAATTGTCGCATATGTTGCAATAAATCTCAATAAGCATCCACATAGATCAAAGGTTATAGATTTTGATACTCATAAGTTTAAGTTGTACCGCATGGATGTTACATTTTGTGCAATACGATTGTTACGCTTCTGCGTGAGAATTTAGAAAACTGCAAAAAAATCTATCTTTAGCTATATATGGTCTTAGCTGCTCCGATATGAAATAAAATACTTGTAGTTGGAAGGCGCAGTTCTGAGGAATTTTTTTTTTAAAAAAACCGTCTCATTAATTGCAAGTATGACAGTTCTTTTTTCTTTTTTTGAAAAAGGGCAAGTATGACAGTTAAGTTAAAAGATTATTATTTTTTAATAATATTTTTTCCATGAAGGATAACAATCATATCAATATTATTATTATTAGTCTGTGTTGATTGTCGGTTGAGAGCGCAGATAATTTTTCCGCCCCATGAGGTAGCTTTGGTGGGAAACAACATGTTTTGGGATTCATATTTTTTGTTGAGGGATGGTGAAACCAAAAAAACTTATGAAAATGGGAAAAAAAAAACAAAAAAGGTGGTTTATAAGGAGACGGAGAAACCCTTCATAAGGTAGTTTTCGTACAGGGATAGTGTGAAACATAAAAAGAATTATATTTGTAATTGGCTAAGTGATGTTTGTTAAACACTAGAACCATCTGTTCTCAGATATTATTCGTATTACAAATTCACTCGCACGCCGTAATCAATGAGATTTCTCCAAGAGAAGTTTTTCATGGTACGTAACCTACATAACTGAATAGTCAAAGATATACTATTACAAATGCTCTTTAAAAATAGTAGGTCACTTGAATATGAATGTACATAATGCATGATGCTAATGCGAACCTACGTTCCCGAAGTTCCCATAGTAATTGATGAGCTACGTTGACTAACAACTCTTAAAATTTGTTGGCATTCCATTTGAATTATAATACTTTCTCCGTTCCGATATTGTCTACTTTGAATTTTCACTTAAATATAATTTGCATTAAAAGTTAAGATTCAAACTGGATAATAATTTTGGGACACAAAAAAATATCATTTATCCAAAAAATTACTCACATTGCACAAATCTCAAAATTGTGGGATCAAGACTTTGTAAGTAAGCTTCAACATGTTATTTTTTGTTTGACTTCATATATATATATATATATATATATATTGGAAATTTTATGGTCCAGTCATGAATTTTTGACTGAACCATTCAGTTGTAATTTATCCAATAAAAGTGAGACACACTTTAAGTTATTATAGGGTGTGCAACACCATAACAAAATCTTATTAAGATTAATTTTATTTTATCTTTAGTAATTTACTAATTAAACTGTTAAGTTCCATCAAGTAATGGGAATTCTGTTTCATCTAGCAGTTCCATATCTCCACCAACTTCACTATTAAACAACTTCTCCACTAACTCCACTATTAAACAGCTGTGTGCCAGTAGCATCAATCTCGGGCAATTTATCTAGGATATTCGGGGCACTGTGTACCCCCTCCTATTTTTTACATTTCTAGTCCTTATTGTACTTTTTTTTTTTTATCAATCTTTCTATATTTTGCAAGTTTAGTCCCTGTCATTTTTTCTCCCTCTTCCAAAAAACATCTCTAATCTTTCAACGAGTATATCTTCCAATCCGTGAATAATTTGTGAACGAATTATATATGAAATTTCTTGTATTCGTCGAGATCTATTCAACAAGATCCATATCCAATATTTTTTTTCAACTTAAAAATGATCAAATTTTTTAGGGCAGAATTAAGTTGGATATCCAGTTTAAAAAGATGGATAACCAACTTAGTTTATTATTTTCAAAAAAAATAATAAAAAGAAAAACCAGGTTGGATAAATAGTACTAATTAGTTGGATAAACAATATTAACATATTGGACAAAGATTTTTCCAAAGAAAAAAAAAGATCGAAAAACCAGTACAAACGAAATAGATAATCGGTTCAAACCGGTCGGATAATCAGTATGAACGAAATGGATAACCATTTTAAGGAAAAAAACTAGGTTGGATCAGTGCCAATTAATTGGATAACAAGTACAAATAATTTGGATAGGCACATAAACCCGTTGGATAATCAATACGCATGAAACTCTAAAATTTCAAAATCTGTTACGATCTCGGTACGAGTGGACGTATTTGTGTTTGTAAAATTTCAAATCCGTTAGTGAATATAATTCAGCAATGTTTCGAATAGTTTTTCTGTTGAAATTGTGAGGTGAAAAGATCTCTGATCTCGAAAAACCATAAGAGGTTGTTTGTAAAGCGTTGGCGTGTTAGTTTGACTCTATATATATATATCATTAAAATTTTATTATTCCTTTCTTTCAATCTCAGGAACACACCAAAATTCTACAATTAACAAGGATTTTTTGCTTAAATAAACTGCTGAGCTTTAGGTTTCCTCCACACGAAAAGTTTCAATATGTTAGAATACTGTTCTTGGCCTGAGGTAGAGAATAAAAAATAAGTAGATTAATACTCTTTTCATTCAAAATTATTGTTCAGTTTAAATATTTATTTTTTTAATGCAAATAAGATTAAAAGTTAAAATTCAAAATGCACAATAAATTTGGTTCACGGAGAATATACAGTAATAATCCACCCCAGCAAATCCGTTCACTTTTTTCATTCAACGTCCTCTCGTAGTCCCTATATAGAAGAATGTAGCTAATGTTGTATCAAAAATTACAAGTGATACTTTGAAAAAAAAATTTACAGATGATAAATAAAAAAGTATAAATTCATCCCAATGCGAAAAATAAAAATATGGAGGTGGTAAAAATTTTGGCCTTCCATACAAATGTGTCCGAAATTGGAACCTGGGCAGTTGCAGATTCATTCAATGTACATGCTTTACTACATTCAATTTTCTTATAAATTTTTCTTTCTCAAAAGAAATCATATTTTTTTTTTAACAAAAAAGTATATCATATTTAGTAACAATCATGATGCGTACATGAAATAATTTGTAAGAAAAATGAAGAAGTAATAATATGAATTAAATCGCATCCATTCATTTTTACATTTTTCATTTTAGACTTAAGCAAACTTACAAATTAATATTTTTTAGACACATTATTCTTTACAATTTTTTTTTTGGTCACAAGTAAACTGTATATTCATTTCAAATCTCAACTTCCTGCTGTGTACATCCTACCTTCTTTCATCTATTACACCATATGAAACCAGAAACAATTTAACACTACACGATTCCAAACCAAGGTTCAACTATAAACTTCTCTTTATCACTGAATTTTTTTATGACAAAAGAACACTCTGACTCTAACGTCTTCTTTAATGAGCTTCACAATCTGATCTTCTGTTCTTCTTTTCCCTTGGAACAATCTCCAATTTCTCTCCTCCCACAAATGATAGATAGAAGCCATCAAACTGGCTATAAGAATGGCCCTTTTCAGTTTCGATTTCCTCCATATAGATTTCAGTTCCTTTTCCATAGATCATTTTGTCCTGTCAACATTCGTATCCCAAGCCATTGTGTAATACCCTGCAGCACATTATCAGAGAACTAACACTCAAAAAAGAAATGCTTCAAACTGTCCATCTGATTAGTGCAGACGCTACAACTTGCATCAGCTACATTAACATGACAGTGTATCAACCTTTCCTTGGTTCACAACCTTCTCTTCCACATTAACCAAGCTATAAATGAGTGTTTTGTTAGGTTCAACCTATCCACTTTGCTTCAATCCAAGTCTCAGCTCTGCTAATCAGCCAATTATATCCCTCAGTAATACTATATTTCCCAGAAACAGTATGTTTCCATTTAGTGCCCTCAAATTCATGTCTGACTTTGTCTCGTATATTGAACAACTGTTTCCAATACCAACTCTGATCCTTCTTAGGCTCAACAGACCAGATATCAGTGCTCTTTAAATACATCTCATGGACCCATTTGACCCATAGATTATCTTTCTTCAGTGCCAGCCACCATAACTGTTTAACCAATGCCTCTTCATTCCAAACCCTAGCATCCTTAACACTCGGACCACCTTCCGTATTCCTGTGAAAAACAGTATCCCACCCTACCAAAGCCATATATCTACTAGAGTCTTTTTAGCCCCCTCCCCCAACAGAAACTCCTGACAGCATATATTAACACGTCCCGAAATACTCGTTATGATAAACACAACAACCTAATACACATGCATATATAACAGGACAAAATTGATAAGTTGCAGACAGGCAGCATGATAAGTGCCGAGTACTCCAACACTTGATCCGAGCTACTATACGATCCACTAATCTTTGACAATTTTGTTGATTCCATTTCCTAGGTGACAAAGGCAGACCTAGATATTTCATTGGGAAAATACCATCCTTAAACCCTGTTATTGCTCCTATTCTCAGTGTTACTTCTTCCGGTACACCCCCAAAGCAAAACATCTGATTTATCAAAGTTTGCTTGCAAACCAAAAACTGCTGAAAACTCCTTGAAACAGTCCATTATCGCCCTTACTCTAAAGTCATCAGGTTTACAGAACACTAGGAGGTCATCTGCAAAACACATATTGGTCGTCCTCGGCTCTTTACATTTTGGATGAAATCTAAATCTGGGGCTTTCTGCTACCTTTTTTAATTGTCTCGTAAAATATTCTATGACTATTACAAATAACAGTGGAGACATAGGGTCTCCCTGTCGTAAACTCCTCTGTCCTTTAAAGAACCCCACTGTACTACCATTAAAGCTTAATGAAAATGATAGTTTAGTTATACAGACTATCACCCATCTAAGAAAATTTGCAGGAAATCCAAATCCTACTAAACATTCCTCAACAAAACCCCATTCTACTGAGTCGTAAGCTTTTTCAAATCTATTTTCATAATACACCTGCCACTAATATTCTGTCTTCCGTACAACCTTATCAATTCTTGTGTAATCAGAGTGTTATGTAAAATAAATCTATCTCGAATAAATGCATTCTGATTATCAGAAATAATATAAGGTAGAACTACACTCAGTCTAGCGCTATGCATTTATAGAAGGCATTACAACAAGAAATCGGTCTAAACTGACTAGCATCTTTAGGATTATCAACTTTCGTAATTAAAGCAAGAACAGTAGCATTTAATTGCTTTGAAAGCTGACCTTTCTCAAAGAATTCCTGCACAGCTTTGATTAGATCCTCCCCTGTGGTACTCTAGGTGGCTTTAAAGAAGTCACTTCCATACCCGTCAGGTCCCGGACTCTTATTCGAGTGAATTCCTCATAAAGCTGCTTTGATTTCTTCCCTCGTGACTGGTCTTATGAGTCTCAACTGATCCTGCATGGCTACTTTACTCCCCATCTCAAAGATAGTCTGATCAGCTATTTTCCTTTTTGAGGATTAGCCCAGCTGTGATCGAAAAAACTAGATGAAATGCTCCTCAATGTCCCCGCAGTCATGTGTCTTCACTCCATCCTCTCTTGTAATACACCAAACTCTATTCATCATCATTTTCTTTTTAATCTTTGCATGAAAGTACGCAGAATTCGAGTCACCTTCTCTGATCCAACCCTTTTTTTCCTTTTGCCTGGGAAATAATTCCTGCGCCCTACTCGCAGTTATCCATTCCCCATAAGCTTCCCTTTCTGCCTGCTGCAACTGTATATCATCTGATCTACGAGCCAACACTCGTTGCAGACACTGCAATTTATCAAAAGCTTTTTGCGTCTTTACCTGAATATCTGCCAATACGCCTTTATTCAACTCCTCCAGTGGCAGCTTCAAGTGTCGCAATTTTTGCACTATCTGGAACATTCTTGAACCCATCACAGGCTCCTGCCAGCTTTGTCTCACCACTTCCTGGAAATCAGGATCTAATTTCCACATGTTGAAGTAGCGAAATGGGTTTGGTTTACTCATGATTTCCCCTTTAACCTTAACTACCAAGGGTGTATGATCTGATACCCTTTCTTCCAACACCATTGCTATGGATTCATTTTGTTGCACTATCCATTCTTCATTTATCATAACTCTGTCAAGCTTAGCAAGAATTCGATCTGATCCATGCTGCTTGTTACACCAAGTGAATTTAGCCCCACTTGTCTCATATCTTGCAAAGCACACTCATCCACACACATCTGAAAGTACTCCACTTCAGTCAGCATAACACCTCTCCCACCCACTTTCTCTTCCTCCTTTAATGCATTATTAAAGTCTTCTGCTGCTACCCAAGGTAATTGTATTCCTTTTCTTAGCTCCATTACTCTATCCCATATCCTTTTCCTCTCCTCTCAACTATTAGAAGCATAAATGCCTATGAAGTTAAACTGAAAATTGAATTCATTCAGCCTAACAAGACAATGCACCATCAGCTCAGAACTTTCTAAGACCTGCAGCTGAACTGAATCATCCCAGATCAAACAGATTCTCTCTTTATTATTGGTTCCATAACTGGTGTACCAAGATTTATTACTCCACCACTTCTCACTGATTTCTTTATTCTTTTCCTTGCTTGTTTTATTCTCCACTATACATGCTAAGGCAACTCTATTTGCAAACAAGAGTCTAGATAACTCTTTTTGCTTTAAAGGGGCATTCAAGCCGCTTATATTCCATATAAAGAGATTACTCATTGATCCCTGGATCGGGGTCAAGAGCAGGAACAATGTCTTTCTCACTCACTTCATCCACTTCCTTCTTTTCTCCTGATGAACTGCCATGATCAAATAAACTATTCCAAAACTGTTGCTTCCTAGCAATGTTCTCATTCATCATTCCTATGATAACAGGCATGTATACCTTCTCCCCACAAGACACCTGTACCCTTTGCTGGATCATCTGATTCTGTTGCTTGATCTTATCCCCCGTCTCTCTTCTCATAATCACATTCTGAGCAGCAAAAATCCTCACTGCTTTATCCCCTTCTTTGGCTTTCTGTTGTGTCATATGATTGCTTCTGCATTGTTCAGTGGAATGCCCATACCCCTTACAGCTATTACACAGAACATGCTTCCATTCATAAACCACCTTTTGTTCTTTACAATTTTCCTTATATACTTTATTACTCATGTATTAGGCTCCATTTGGACAAGTGTTTTAAAAATTTGTTTAGAAAAGTATGTTTGAGCCAAAACTTAGAAAAGTACTTTTTAGAAAATAATGTATTTGGACAAGAATTTTTGAAAACCCTTTTTATTAATTAAAAATATTAAAAAAAGTCATTAGCACTAGGTCTTTTTCAAAATTACTTTTTCTTCAAAATAATTTGTGAACTTTTTTTCAAAAAAAAAAAAGAAAATCATTTTTACACAAATTGTCATTTTCATTTTTTTTTCACTTTTCTTTGCTAGATTTTTGTTTTATTATTCGCAATTGTCTTGTTCCAAAATTTTCTTTGACCCGGATTATGACCCGCGATCGGATAAAAAAACTCTGTTTCAAAAAATTGAAAAATATTCCGTACCTATTTTCTGAAAAATCTGTTTTAAGCCTTCTTTTTTTCAAATTGATGTTTAGAAAAGACTTTAATTATTTTGTTCAAACGCATTTTAAACTCTAAACAGACCTTTTAGCCTTAAAAGTTTTTTTAAAACTCTTGTTCAAATGGAGCCTTAGATTTTTTTAGTTCACTCATTACACACGGAATAAGTCGTGAACGTGACCCCCATAAACAAAGACCGAGAAGTAAAAATGCGACTTTTCCAATCTAAAATTATTGATACCTTGGCGCGTTCGAAGGGTTGAATCAAACCTTCTTCAATTTTGACGTTATCCAGAGGGTCCAAAGTTCAGAAATTAGGCATCGAATGTGACATAAAAGCTTCGAGCCGCATATCTATAGAATTCCAGCTAATCAGTCGACACCAATCAATATAGTGCTCTCCTTGATACCTCTCAGTTTTTCGTTCTTTTGTTTTCCTGCTTTATATATGAAACAGTAAACATTTTAAGAGATGACTCCCTGATCATCCTCCTCGTTCGCGAATCATAAATAGTGCACGTTTGTGAAATTTAGATAGTTTATCAAATCCAATAATTTTTACGTTATTTTTATTTGAAAACTAAGATAATTTTTAGTAATGAAACAGATAGAGGCATAAATTGGTTCAAACTCAGAAGGAACTTTTTTTCTCTTCATCCTTTTCTCTTTACGTTTAGTTTCAGGGGTTAAATGATCATAATTTTCGTCAAGAACTATTCGTGAGAAGACGAATCAATTCCAGAGTTTATGTGATACTTACATCCGTAATTCTTGATTACTGTTGGTAAATATATCTCGCTTGAGCTAATGCCTCGAAAATTCAGATGCAAATAAACAAATAGGTTTTGTCGAATGATCTTTTTTTATTTCTTTTGGGCAGTAAGTACTTTGTAAATCATAACGTTGAAATAAGAGAAAAGAAAAAGGAAAAAATATGAAGTAAAAAAGTGAAACTATTTAGAGGCGGCTAAACTATATGATCACTACTGTTTTAAATAAGACAGGACGAAAATAGGATTTGAATGTCCCGGTAGAATGACACATTGTCCCGAACAACAAAAAATCTTTTCAAGTTGCTATCATGCACAATGTGAAAAAAATAAATACACCCACCACTTCACACATTCGATTCTCATCTACTGTTTGAAAATCAATACTATTCTCTCGTTATTAAAATAATTGTACAGTTTAGAGTTTTAATGTTAATATATCTAACATTATAAGTAGTCCTAGGTTGAAAAATTCTCAAACTACCATTTCCTCATTCTCTCTTGCATGTTCATGCATATCGCGCACAATTCAAATCCATGACAATGAAGATTTCAATCCTTCTTCCCGTTTCTCTCCTACTTGTTCTTTTCCTTTCATTTCCAACCCCATCTTCCGCCACCGACGAAAAATGCAATCCCCGAGAAAGAGATGCATTTTCACAGATCAAACAAGGCTTCAACAACCCGGAAGCCTTGGCCTCATGAGATCCAACAACCGATTGTTGTTCTTGGTTGAATGTTCAATGCGACCTCAGCCACGTCATTGGTCTCACAATTTTCTTTTCTCAAATCTCCGGCCAAATCTCGCCGGCTATCGGCAACGTCCGGTATATCCAAGCACTCCAAATATTAGATTCTACAAATGTCACATGAACCATCCCCTCCACCATCACTCGGCTTACTCGTCTCATCATCCTTGATCTGAAAGGTAAGAAACTCTCCTGCCCGATTCCACCATTTCTCGGCAAAATCGAGAGTTTAATAGCATGAGACTTATCGAGCAATCTTTTCAGTGGTTCAATTCCGAGTTCCCTTTCAAGACTCCAAAACATCGTCAACCTCCACTTGGAAAACAACCGTCTAACCGGACCTATCCCGGAATCCTTCGACCACTTTGCCGGAGAAACTCCCAATCTTTTCCTGTCCAACAATTTTCTCTCCGGCCCACTTCCGAAATCCTTAGGCTACGTGAACTTCACCACTGAATTTGACTTGTCATTCAACAATCTCACCGGCGACCCGACACTGTTGTTCGGGAAAAATATGACGCTGAATTATATTCTGCTGAACTACAACTTGTTTGAGTTCGATCTTTCCAACGTGGTATTTCCGGACAGTTTGACAAATTCGAAACTTGATCCTAACAAGATCTATGGAAGCCTTCCAGATGACCGAATTGAACTTGCAGCAGTTTGATGTGAGCTATAACAAACTCTGCGGGCAAATTCCTCAAGGCGGCAACCTTCAGAGCTTCGGCTCCACCGCTTACAGCCATAACAAATCCTTCTACGGTGCTCCCCTTCCTGCCTGCGGCTAGCTTTCGAAGTTTGGGAAATATTTTTTGAATTTGAAATACTTTGGTCAAATAAGTGGAAATTCTACATTAGTAATTATTTGCAACATTTCCCACTTGTGTATTGGAACGCATACACATAATTAATTGTTCTTGATATGTGCTTAAGGTATTCACCTTATAAGTTGATTTGTGGTGTAAGATCATTATATTTGGATATTCGAAATTTGTTCGTTTCACCACTAGTTGCTCTCACGGTATACACCGTAAAACATTGTGGAGAAAGAATTATTGTTACTCTAAAAATGGGCCGGGAAAGACTTAATTTTGTAATTTCACTTTAATTTTATATTACATTTCATATTAAATATACAATTATCAATCATCGACGCCTTGTTGGGAAAGGAAACATCTAAAGCTGTAATATGTATTATATGAATTCATCAACAAATGGCGTCTCACAGATACAAACAACTAATTCTTTTGATCCGTCATTGTCAATGTGATAATTATCTCATATGATAATTACCTAGAGTTGTGATATTGTGTAGTTAATTATCTAGAGTTGTGGTTAGGTTTATCTTGTATTTATATTACCTCATGTGGTATTATTTAGTTGTAGGTTCTCTATATAAGTCATGTGATAGTTATAGGTCAATTGTTCAATTGAAGCTAATTTCATCCTCTAAGTCTCATAAACAGGAAAAAAAAAATCGACATGATCTCAAAATGTTAAACTTCTAGTCTTAAAACACGTACTGTTGATGATGCTTGATTATGTTGATCGATGATCTTATAATTACTGGAAGTAATGTAGATTCTGTATAGCTATTGAACTTTCAGCAACAATCCCCATTAATAAAGTATCTTAATTTCTTAGGCTCCGTTTGGTTAGATTGAATTAGAATTATAATATTATAGAATGCAAAATGAAATATGTATTACAATCTATATATATATATATATATTTCAATCTAATATATATTTATATATACATATTAGATTGAAATATATATATATATATATATATATATATATATAACAATTCAATCTCAATTCCTTTATTTGTGAGATTTTAGAATTGACAAATAATTAAGATTCTAATACTTGTGTTGGATGCTTAAAAGTTTATTAGAACTTGTTTGTTATTATCTAACAAATATAATTTTTATGCTTCATTTCAAAAAAGAAAAAATCACTTAATTTTTATATCAAAGTAATTTATTATGTACATATATAAAATGAAAATAATAAATTTATTAAGTACACAAACATTAGAAGTACTTTGTTGGTTTCTAACTAAAACAATTTTTACTTTTCTTTTTTAAAAAATACAATATTTTATGTAATTTGACAGATCAAATATATAATTTATTATGTACATGAATAATTATTTATGAAAAGTATAAATTAAAAGCTAATGAGCTGCACATCGTCATGTAATATAATCAAAAAATTTAATCCAAAACTAATACTACCTCCGTTTTTTTTATCTGTAGTTTTAGAATGAACCCAAAGTATTTTTTCATATGTTGCACTTCATTTGTAATGCAATATTAAATACCTTTTTTTTTTAAAATTTCACTCTTATCTCTTTCTACTTTTAATAACATATATTAATGACAATTACCTACTCTTTAATTTCAATTTTAAATTTTTTACTGTTCCAATACTTTTAATTAGGGGCATGAAAGACAATACTCTTGTAAATTAAATTCTCAATCTCTCTTTTCTTAATAGTTATGCAAACCCTAAAGCGACAGATAAAAAAAACGGAGGTAGTATATAGTTTATCTCTACATAGGGTGGAAATTACTTATAAATATAGGGGGCATTCTTGTAAATAAGTTATAGTGAGGCAGTTAGAAAACGCGGTTAGCGACAGCTTTAATTACTCTATATATGATTAGCAAATCTTTGTAATAGATTAGAGCTCATTAATGAAATAATTCTCTACTTCCGCATTAAGCCAAACCTTAAATCCTCTCAATTTTCTTTACTAAATTATAAATAATTAGCACCAATTTACTTTAGTTGATGGTATCAAAGCAGGTTAATCATACTCTGTACCGATTAAACCTACTACCTTACTGAATCTTGAAGAATTAATTGACACTGTGCAGAGCTGCCATAGCAAAAATTCAAAGAAACAGAGATTTACGGCGACAAGTCCGTGAAGATCATGAACAATATCAAGAAGAAGAAGAAGACAATCGAAAACAACAGAGAGCTTGTGAATTACGGTAGATATACTCATCCACTTACTTTACTACCATCATATACGTTGTCATTGTCGCTGGTCATGGCTCAGCTAATGAACGATAGCTCTGTCTCCTGGAATTATGCAGCAATAAGAACTCTCAGAACAATGAATAAGCTAGTTTTTGTCACCAAAACTTATCCAAAACCAAGTCTAAGATCTCCTGAGTTTGAGCAATGGAATAGAGTTAACGATCTGGTGGTGGCTTGGATGTTAAATTCTTTAACTCTGACGGTAGTAGATAATTATAACCTGGCGAATTCTGCTCAAGATCTTTGGCAAGAATTGAAACAAGGCTACAGAAAAGAGAAATTTGCACTATTAAATAAGGAATTCCGACTTTGGTTACTTTCAATGCAAAATTGAAAAGACTCTGGGACGAACTGAATCATTTGGATCCACCTGATGAATGTGATTGTGCAAGACAGAGCCTCGGGTGTCTCACGAGGGTAGACTCTCCGATACTTAAGTCAATAAAGGAATAAAAAGGGTAGAGAGAGATGTATGTGTATCGTGTGCAGAAGGTGTAGAAGATATATATGTAGAAAATATGAATTATGGGAGAAACACCACCTCTTTATACATGTTTTCTTAATCCTAGTCGTAATAGGTTTAGGTGTTGACTTAGCCTCCAAGGTAGCCAGCCCAAATGCATTAGGGTTAGGGTTTATTTATGACTTATCAAGTGCCCCTAGCAAGCTATATTCTCGAGACTTGATGAGAAGAATATGGGTTGCTATAAGTACGAGGCTGGAGTGTTGACGGCTTCTCGACTTCTGTAATGTTGCCCAGTTCTCGAACATGATGTTCCTGCAAGATGAACAAAAGGGTAATGGTTGACAAAAGAAGGTCCTCGAGGGTACAAGGGTTGACGATGACGGGGTCCTTGGAATGACAAAAGTCAAGAAGGGGTGGTCCTCGAAAGGACAATGGTCGAAAATGGAAGGTCTTTCAAAGGACGATCTTCGGGAGGACAATGGTCTATGAAAAGTCGATCTTTGTGAGAGATAATGGTCCATGAGAGGCTGGTCCTCAAATGGATGAGTAGTCGTTAGAGAAGGGTTCTTGAGAAGATAATGATCGACAGAAGGATGTCCTTGGCAAAAAAATGGTCGATAGGTGGTGGTCTTCTCGAAAAACATGGTGGTGCCTAAGGATTTTTAGAAGGTTGAACTCATTCGGCTTAAGCTTGTGGATCTCGCCATTAAACTCGACCAGGATATTGCAATAAAAATAAGGAATGACATATAGTAATTAGAAACTCATAAAGAATATCAATTCAAGCAAAGGATATTAGGATGATCCTTCAAATTCTTTGCCCTAAGGGTATGTCCCCATTTGTGCCCCGAGTATGTTTTCATTGTTGAAGGATGATAAGGGTTTTACCGCGAGAGGGTTCGTAACTTGAAGAACTCCTTTGATCGTGTTCAAAAAGATATCATGATATGATAGTAGTAATATGCTAATGATATCAGCAATAGATGTATTTAGATTCGAGAAATCTATTATAAGAGGTTTGAGAAATACCTCGATCTCGAGATAAATTCATTATTCAAGAAGGTGTTACCTTGATTTCGGAAAGGTAGTATTTGAATAGATGAAAGTTGAGATACGTATTCTCGAACACTTGGAGTAGTAGCATGGTGCTCGAGGAATGATTGCCCCTTCGAGGAGATGTATCTCTTGAAACTTCAATTTCAGAGATTGCCCCATGCTTCGAGCTTAAGAGAGTTAATCTGTAAAATTATAAAACTATTAGGGCATAAATATTATACATGAAATTATAAATATTGATTTGGAAAAATTCAATAAGTGATGAATCTTCTCGATGATGATTTTGAGGATTTGCTCAGAGGAGCAGAATTTCTCACCGTTGGCATTCTTGTCGGATAGAAGGCATTCAAGGAAGCCGACAGAACTGTTGTCGACTTGATCGTCGATGGGAAAGCATTAACGTGGAAGTCGACGAATGTCAATTTGCATGATTTCTAAATTTTTGATTTCGACTTTTGCGCACATAGATTTGGAGATCTTGTCAACCCGATTATCACCATGAAAAACCAACAAATTCCAGCTTTTTTTCAAGAAATTTATTTGGTTGTGAAGACCAAACAAATTGGTCCCATTGGGCATGCCATTTGACGAAGCCTGAATTTGTATAGTGCCTTAGGACGGGCGGCGTCAATGATCTAAGCGCTAGCGTATGGCCTAAAACTTACAAGACAGAGCCCCGGGTGTCTCCCGATGGTAGACTCTCTGATGTTTAAGTTAATAAAGAAATAAAGAGAGTACAGAGAGAAGTATGTATATCGTGTACAGAAAGTGTAGAAGATGTGTAGAAGATATGAGTTATGGGAGACGCACCACCCCTTTATATGGAGGTGGTGTTACCTATTTCTTTTTACCTAGTCGTAATAGGTTTAGGCGGTGACTTAGCCTCCAAGATAACTGACCCAAGCCTATTAAAATTAGGATTTATTTATGACTCGCCAAGGTTCAATCAGCAAATAGGGAATAAAGAGGCCAGGATAAAACTGATTCTGTTCTTAGCAGGCCTATATGACTAGTATACAGAAGTAAGAAATCACATATTGATGATGGATCCATCGCGAGATATAAGGAAAGCATACAGAATGGTGATCAATGTGGAGTAACAGCAAGTGGTCAAGATGACTTATAGGGGCTTGTTGACAATAGTGCAATGGTGGCACCCTCGGCTTATGTCCATAACAAATGCTTGTGTGGTGCTCCACTTAGCTTCCTGCCTACATCTAGGGATTTACATGTTTACTTTTTGGAAATATTGGAAAGTGGGTATAGTAAGATAGTACTAATGAGTTTGAATTATTCCGGATTGATTTAAAACAAAAAAAGCTGTTTTTTAGATGTTTGCATGTAAGTTGAATTACCAGTTGTTTGTGAAATAAAATAGCCCAATCAGTTTTAAGTTACATGATATATATATCATGTAACATCTAAAAAACAGCTTACATGCAAACATCTAAAAAACAGCTTTTTTTGTTTTAAATCAATCCGGAATAATTCAAATATATATATATATATATTTTAATTTATTCATTATCTTCTTTTGTCGGACCATATGATATGTTTGCATCTAAGTTGAGTTATATTTTCTTTTTTTTTTTGTCCGTTCTCCAAAAAGATTATGTTAATCTCATTAACCATTTTTTTTTCTAGATTAAGAATGTAGAAAATATACGTCGCCCATAAATTAACTTTCAAGGTACGTGTATTTTAATTACAATACAGTTAAACCTCTATAAATTAATATGGTTCAGTCTTATTAATTTATAGAAATTTTAATCTATCCATAAATTAATAAAAATTAACATATTTGTAATATTTTATAAATTTAACGAGTTTCTTTCAATATTAATGAACAAATTGTCATAAATATCATTTTCACCAGAAGAATAGTTGGTTGCAATCCTATCTGTACTCTATTTCCTCAGGGTACAAATGGTTAAGTGGTAGTTGTGAGAAACTCCCAGCTGCTCATTTCATCTGGGCAAGGTTTTGTGTACCTAAGCATTTCTTTTGTATCATGACTACACTTAATTTTTATCAAAATTAGTTGTGTATATAAAATGAGAGCTCGTGATTGTTTTGTGTTTTCATTAGCTTGTTGCATAAAAAAAATAAATAAGGGCGCCGTAGTTAAGAATAACATGTTTTGTTTTATAATAATGAATTGCGCAGAGAAATAGCGCTTTTGTAAGTGGGGGCAATTTTTCTCGAATTCTCAATAGGTTATTTTTATTCATTTTGGGTAGTTCTTTTAGGCTGCATTTTAAAATTCAATTGAAAAACACTGTAACAGGTGGCGTTGAATTTGTGAGATATTTCTTAGATTCACAGTCTGACTCGGCGTTATTATAACTGGTTGGTTGTAAGTTGAAAATTAATGATCAGATTTTGTCACTGAATTCACAGAATCAGATTTCATTTCTGTGCCTTAATGAAGTTATACATATTATTTTCCTATATAAACTAACCCTTTAGTTGTGTTTGTTTCATTACCAAACCAAGCTTTCAGAAACAATCTGTTTCCTCACAAGATCTGGTATGTGCATTTCCTTTCTGTCTTTTTCATATCATCAATTTCTAATGAAATTCAATATAAAGCGTACTGTTGTAATTTCTTTTCTCCGAAGCTTCCCCCTCTTTTATAATGGTGTTTTTTATGTTTAAGTGTATCTACAGTAAAAAAATTTTCAGTCTATGATTGTTTGTTTCTTAATGGATTCTACAGGGTTTATCTCAAGAAAATAGTACTTTTTTTAAGGTAAACTATACAGCCATTGATTTACCAATTTAAGGTATCCTTTCGTTACTTATTAATATGGTTTTGATCAATCCCAAATTTTATTTTGAATTTCTTTTTTCTGGAATAAATTAGTCAATTTAACTACAATTGCCTTAGAGTTAAAATTTGTTTACCATATAAACTATTATATAATTTGGTCGTATCAATGAAATCACACAAATGAATTTTACCCATTAAAGGGCTTTCCATTCTTGTCATCACATAGAGGTTTAAATCCTTACAGCATTGTGTAGATTGAAATCGATTGGTTTTTGTATTGAAAATCATCACTGGTGGCTGATTGGCCCCAAGATTAAACACGAATGTTTTTTTCTTTTTGTTTTGAAAGTCTGGATTTTCTTTTCGCCTAAGAATTTGAGAAAGGGAAGCACAAATAATGTTAGAAAATCTAGGTAAGTTTAATTAATGACAGGAATTATAATTTTGAAATTTGGTACTGCGATCTAAAAAGAAAAGAAGTAACAGAAGTAGTATTTTAGAGAGTGGTCGATGTTTCCGATTTTCCAGCAATGGCGTTTAATTTAGTCCTGCAATTGACAGCGATTATAATTAGTTTAAAGGTAGGTGCTTCTTTAATTTTCTTTCTCTTTTAAGTAAATTAAATGCTCACTCCACCTGTTATTGTCTGGTTTATATTTTTAGATTTAGTTCAAGTTTTACTAACAATAAAAATTTGAATCGGAAAATTTCAAGATAAAAAACAGTATTTCAGACCATTATATATGCATGCAATGCTGAAACCACGTATTTTACTAGTTGAACTCTTCCCACATTTGAAAGTGATTGGCTTGTCCACAAACCCATGCCATCATCCACATTTTTTATCAAAGGGCTTCAGTCATTAAGAGATAATTTTGAGGTAATAAGAGGAACACCAAGATACCTCATAAATTGCCTTTTTGAAAACCCAACACAATTTATAAGGCTTCCTTATCTGGGGCTGTTTGATGAGATGAACATCTTACTCTTGCTAGGTTTGCTATACTAAAAAGAGTTTTGTACCTTTGGGAATAAAACTTACTACATACATTTAGAGGCTTGGCTTTAATTAAAAAATTGAATACGAATGTCCACATCCCTATCACATAACATTTGCTTTTACTTCTGCAAAATTTATTAATCTTTTGATACTTTTCAGACATTGCGGCCACCATGACTAGCAGCGACTCAAGAATCGCATTTGATTGGGCTGAACTTCACTTGGAACTGCTAATGCACATATTTTCAATGTTGAGTTTATTGGATAGACTTACCCTTGTTGTTGAGGTGTGCAAATCGTGGCGAGCGGCAGCTACCTCGGACAAGAAATTCTTTAAAACCTTGAACATTCCAGAATTGCGTCTTTGTCTGGACACTACCAAATCAAGAGAGCATAACAGTCAACAACTTCAACTTGCATTTTTCCATGCCGTGAAGTTTGGAAGAAACAACTTGACCAAATTGGTGTTTGATTCTGAGTTTGAAGTCACCGATGCTCATTTCAAGTATGCATATAAAAGGTATATATATTTTATTAATGAAAAAAAGTTAAGAGTGTAGGTATTAAAATGGTCATCTGATGTTATATCTATTAAACTTTCCGATTGTTTTATGAACAAATATAGGTGCCCAAATTTGCAAGAGCTAGCTATGCCATTCCCAAATAATGTAACAAATGAAGGGATGAAACAGGCAACCCGATTCTGGCCTAACTTGAAGTCTCTCTTCATGGACTTCACTACTACTTTTTATCCGTCAGAAATCATGATCTTCAACATTGTCGGAACTCATTTCCTAAACTTGACAACCTTCAAATTCTCTTGCTGCATGCTCAGCGAGGTTACCCTCAAGATTATAGCCAACTTGATGCCGAGGCTGAAGGAGTTAAGGATACGATGCGGTAGGGTTATGACAGATGTGGTCGAACCATTCTCAAACATGCCAAATCTTGAGGAAGTGTACGTATCTGAGCTCAGGTCTTCAGCCGTTCCGAGTTTGCCGGACTTGGTGGACGTTCCGGCAAAGATCCAGGAGGGTCGCAATCGGAATAGGCTTTCTGGACTCCGAGTGTTTCATGCTTGCTATTGGGAAGAATGCGAATGTGTTCCTCATCCATCCCTTGGAGGTCCGATTCTCAACACTCAACATCTCTTGCGATGTTTACTTATGCATTATGATAATGATAGGTTAATCTAGAGAGCTCAATTCCCTAATCCCCTGCTTCTGAAAAAAAGAAAAACTAATGGAGAACTTCAGCTTGTATAATTCCAATAATAACTAAATAATGGAGATTGAGAATTTAGATTTATTCAGTTTCATATGCAGCAAACTATATGTTTTGTTTTGACTGTTGTACATCTTTCCCCGTAGTATCATCATTTTTTTCTTTTGTTTTTTTTTTTCCTTCTTGGCTCTTTCGTGCGGAATTGATCGAATATATAGCTAGCTAAATACTGTAATTCAGTTGGGAGAGCTTTGTCTCTCAAAATGGACCTACCCAATTCGAATACGGATTAGTCAGAACAAAAATTTCGAATACCGAGTGTGTAATATACAAAAAAACTACTGTAATTCAAACTAGTGTGATTCCTTTTTTTCTTCTTGGCTCTTTTGTCTCAATTAATTTTTTTTTTTTTTGGCCTCAAAGAAGGAATCATGTTTCAAATTTTTTGTTTATCACATTATTACTTTTGTTAGCACGATTAACTGTAATAATGAAAGAATACAAAGATTTGCTTAGTTGTGGTACTCTTTTTGGTTTCTTGAGTAGAGTTATTTGGTGGGTTTGGAAGATGGGACGATGGCAATATCGGTACTAGTTCGTTCATATATATCCGTGTAGCGACACGAGGAAAAGAGGTTAATGTTATTCTTCTGTATGCCAATATTTGGTCGTTGGTAACTTGATCGTGGTTGATTTATCCATAAGTAGATGGATCAAATGCACTTTCCGCATACCAGAATAAAAGAAAACGTAAAATTGACAATATATATTATTCTTAGTATGTAATCACATGGTTAAACTAAAGAGAAACGAAAACAAAAGAGTACTCCGGAGGTCTTATTTATATAATCCATTTTGTTACTATAAAATTGTTTTAAAATGGAACTAAAATAAGAATAAATAGATATATGTACATATTCCCACAGCGAGCTACTTTGGCATTTACACCATTAAATTCTATGACCCGAAATGTTTGTGAAAAAGTGAGTCATAGTTCAAAGGATTTAGTTTAAAAAATAATAAAAAATCCATCAGAAATTATTACTTGCGAATTCTAAAGTGTAAAAGAGTTAAAATTTATCAATAATTTAGAAGACATCTATGTTTCTAAAATTTTCTGTTAGAACCATTTTTGTTTTTTGATCTTGTAGCTCATCTTCATGTTATGTGATTAGCCAAAAATGTCCATCTCTACTTGCTTTCGAATTGATATTAGAGTTCCAATGGGTCTGGACATTTCGTTTTACTTTACTCAGCTACTGTATTTTTTTTAGATTCTAAATGGATTAGCAGTTCTAGTGGCAAAAGTAGATCACTAGACCTTTAGTCCGTGGCTGGATTTCATTTTACAGAGCCTTTTTTGACATATATATATTCGATTTATATTTATATTACTGAACTTCTTAATTTGCGAAAAGATAAATAAATTAAAAACTCAAAATTTGTTTCCATTTTATGAGAATGCCATGTCCATGGCTTTGAAAATAACATATTATAGTGCTTAAGTTCTTAATTTGGCCAAAAAAAAAAATACAAAATTTGTTCCCCTTTTACGAGAATGCCATGTCCATGGTTTAAAAATAATATATTCCTTTTGCTATTTTTCATAATTAACATGAACAAATCTAATATTCTCAACATGGTTTTACATCTTACCAGTTCTATCACTCGTCGAGCATTGCGCTACACATTCAATCAAAGAATTTATAAAAGTAGTTTTCAGGTAATGAGTCATAAAAGCTTCAAGGGTTAATAATTTTCATCCAAGAATAGAATTTACATGAATATACATTTTTGATAGTTACACTAATATAGTTACCACATCTATTTTCAAACTAACCTGAGGGTCTTGAGTGGTTGAGGCTTATAAAAGAGCTAGGAAAAAAAAAGGTAGGCAGATTAATAACAAACTTGTACACGAGACAAAACAATTTTCAGTAGGATTTATCCTAACAAAGCTTAAGCTTGTACGCTACTGATCCCCGGCCCATGCAAGTTGGCTATTCTTAGGCATGAGTGTAACATGCTTGGCATTACATATGTTGGTGTCCTTGAGAGACCAACAAGGTATCTTTACAATTGCTTACCTGATCAAAGACACAAAGAAAATAATTAAATAAAATGAATTAAAATACATGTAAACATAAGCTAAAATCCTTATGATATGGAAAACTGAAATTTTAAATTGAACATGAGAAAACTGCCTCAATTTAACTTTTCTTATGCTGCTCAATCATGTGTTCTAATTGCCTAAAGAACAAACAAAAAGGCACCAAATCATAGTTACTGTATTATGGAAACGAATCGTTTTCCTCCCATTGGAGTAGAAGATGGAGTTGATGGGGTCAACCACGACCGACTACACAAACTTCAGCAATTCATCATTCTACAACCCAATAAAGTTAGGTTTAAATGGAACAAGAATTCCAACAAGCCAAATAGGCATTCAAGAAATCACTAAAGGGATATAAATAATAGTAGTAAACATCAAGTGGTGCATGTGTTCAACCTTGCATCCCCTTCTTAACAGATTAAAAACACACGCATAAGAAAGGCTGGAAAGAAAACAGATCACGAGTAGAACATAAGTAATTAGCATGTTGGATTATCAAATTATCAAGAAGGGGAAAAAGCCATATTAGTCACACATTAAGCAACCCAAAAGCTAAATAAATGTTTCTAGTTCAGTCTTAAAAATCTTCAAAACACAAACCGAAAAAGGGAAAGATATAGCAAATTAAAGATGTTACCGAAGCAATATCACAAAAACAAAAAGAGTTATTCAAAACCCCAAGCTTACCAAATTAATAGAAGCAAAGATACTTAGGATTTGGAAGTGGAATTGCTAAGCACACTAAATCAACCCTCAAACAAAATGTTGTTTTTTATCCAGAAGAAGGTGAGAGTATAATTTACGGAAAAAACAGAAAAAACAGAAAACTATTGTACCTTTTTTTCTTACCATCAGTATCTTCTATATACCACCAATATGAGAAATTTTATTTTTGATAGGAGATAGCAATGGTGAGGTATGATCAATATTGCTGACTGTATATATTGGGATAAATGCTTAATGGTTGCTTTGGGATCTAATTAACTTATATAAAGCATAAGAAAAACACAAGAATCTAAAAATTCACCAAAAGAATGTACAATCATAGGCCTTCATTTAATTTTGCAATCTGTTATTTCCTCACAAGGTATAGGACAATGGAATCAAATAACGTGAACTCTTTAGTCTCTCTAACAAGTATTTTTGTTCTTTGAAATCCCATTTCTTTCTGCTGGAACTTTCCAAAGCTATTGCAATGGCATTCTCATTCCCTCAGCCAGTATCAAATATCATCAACACAGCTACACAATATCAGCGAAAACCTCAGCAAAATGAAAATATACAAGAAGAAAATTAAGCAGCAAAACAAAACCAAAACCAACTACAATCATAGGGCTTTACTTAATTTTGCAATCGGTGCATCCCTCTAAGCCTTTAGAGACTTCATATTATTTCTGACTTTATTCAGTATGTAAATGAATACAAATCCATCTACTCATCCTAAATAAAATAATATTAAATAAATCAAAAGAAATTTCAAAAGAATGTTGCAAGTATTTGTTGTTGTATACATTTTATGAGCGCAACACTGAATTCTTTATTTGATGTGAGTGATTAGATTTGCCCTTGTCATTGTCGTTCGCTGTCAACGGATTTCACCGCTATTGTAATTGGCCAGCTTCACCTTTGCTACTCATTGTCGATGTAGCAGAAGGTGAAAATTCTTTGACGATGAGAGTCCGGAGTCGCGAAGAATAAAAAGTAGATGAAGAAGAGTTTGATCTGACTTTAATATAGTACAATCTTAGGCAAACAACGGTGTTTTGAACCTTTTTTTTTTTGCCAAAAAGAAAAGAAAAGGAATTAGATGAACAGTTACAAGTTTAATCCTTACTATTCGGCTAACTTAGAGCGCTAGATTAAAGCCTGGAACCAGTAAGATTGCTTAATTAGAGCACTAGGCCAAGCGCTTTTGAGACATTTACTTTACCTTTAGATTAGTATTAATTACTAATATTTTAATATCAGTTAATGTGTATATATTATCTTGAAGTATTAAAGGCTATCTACACGTCCCAAAAATTTCAATATTTTATAGTGAAATTGAATTTCAAAATTTCGTTGGACCATATACTAACTCATGTAAAATGAACCATTAAAAGCAAAATAAATTTTTTTAAAAAAATGAATTTTAATTATTAGTCCTTCATTTATTTTTACATATACATAAAAAAGAAATATATTCGTGTAACCCTAAAGAAGTCATGATGAGGCAAATTAATTAAAGAGAACCAAATCCTCACCTCTACAGCCCAAGCCCTCATCCTCACCTTCTCTCAATTAGCATTCTTGCTTGTCTTTTGTCTCACTGTACTTCTACATTCCGTCATCGCCACCGAATATTTTTTTCTTCATCCACTTTAACCTTGAGGTTCTATTTCTTTTGAAAGTTCTGATGGTATTATTCTCTATTCAGGTAGGGGTTTTAAACAAGAAAAATGAATAAAAATCATAGAAAATATACATATATAAATCACCCCATTCAAGCAAAACTCCGGCATCCACAACCTTCAATTCCATCGTAGGTCTGTTAGTCCCTATATAGAAGGCTAAATCTAGCAGGCGCATGTGTGCCAAGTGCTCCCATTGTGGCTCCGCCATTGCCATTGTCAATTGTAAACCAAAAATACAAAAAGAAAAAAAAACAATAATTTTCCCCAAGCATTTATATTGCATGAAAAGCTAACAACGATATGTGATGAATGAAGCATATGAATGTAGCATAACATAAGCCTGCCAACTACAATAAACTCATCTGATCGACAAAACGATCACATATTTGTCTCAATCTAATTATCAAACTTTTAAAATGGATTTTTAAAATTCCATATCGTGGCAATCAATTAAACTGAATTAATTAGTATGTAAAGTAATTCCATATCATGTTCTAATTGAAGAAATCATCGAAGTTCATGTAAATATAACCTAATTTTTATGATTTCTATATGTATAAATCAAAGTTTATTAATTTCAAGTGAGAGCTACTGAGTTATATGTAAATTAAAAACATGATTAATTGAAATAGCATGTACAAGTTTCTCAATTGTGTTGTGTTGATTGTTGTATGTGTTATTTTTCTGTTGCGTTGTTGTGTTTTCTTCAATGTTTAAAAAATATTTGTTGAATGTGAAATATGACCATAAATATGAGAAAAGTGTACCATTGCTTTATGCATTTGTTATAAATTTGCTCTCTCAAGATTAAGAATTCCTTGTCCCTAGTAGGATAAAATTGTCATCTTTTTCAAGTGCGACATTTTCTGCTAACTCATTAATTAGTTATGATGGCCTAGTATTGGTATATTAATATTACACAAAACTTTATACTATTGACCAATTGTCAACCTCTATGTTAAGTCAAATTAGTTCAATTAAACTCAATTAAGAGTTACAAAGACTAGAACCCAACATATCAAAAACCACAAATGTAAACTTTAAGTACATTAAAATGGCTGCAATAATGATTAGACAAAAAAGAAAAAAGAAAAAGGGCACAACAGATTCTTAAGTTATTAAAAAGTTGCTTTTTATGTCATGGTAAATTCTTTCACATTATTTCTAAACTATTTCATTCCAAAAATGTTAATGCACTCTAAATGTTATTGTTTGACTAATACAGGTTGGAGAAGAAATCAAAACTTGCAAACTAAGTCAAAACATTGCCTAACTAATGAAATTTACCTTATATAATACAGTATCCAGACCTTCTAAAGTAGTAATTAACGAGAACAGCTCTTTGAATAAATTTGATTCTTTGTTATTTCCATATAAAAAATTTGACTTTGAATTTGACTATTGTCCAGTAAGGCATACTTTATCTTTCTATAAAACTGCAGTCTTCTTTTTACTCATACTTAATCCATCTATAAAACTCCTTTTTTTTTGTTTCTCAAAACATATTACCTACCTCCTTTGTAGTTTCATAGAACATTATATTGTAAGAAATTATAGCAACCAAAAAAATGAGTAGGGGTCGCCAAAGAGTGGATATGAAGAAAATGACAAACGAAAGTAACCTGCAGGTGACGTTCTCAAAACGTCGCAAAGGTTTGATCAAAAAAGCGAGCGAGCTTTGTACCCTAACAGGGTCAGAGCTTGCTGTTGTGGTCTTTTCTCCGGGGAGCAAAGTCTATTCTTTTGGCTCCCCGAGCGTGAGTCAGGTCTTACAAAAGTACGAGACTGGGGATCCACACTTTATCGCTCCTCAGGGCTTAACCGTCGAGGCACACCAGGGAAATAGTAACGCTAATATGGTTAGGCTCAATGAAGAGCTTAGAGAACTCGAAGATCAAATGGATGCTGTGAAAAAAATGAATGATAGTTTTTCACACATGGTGAGAACTCGTCAGAATAGCTATTGGTGGCAAGCTCCCATTGACGAGCTTAGCGTGGAACAGCTTGAGCACTTGAAGCTAGCCTATGAGGAGTTGGAGAAAAGAGTTCAGATTCAAGCACAAAAACAGTTGCCTCGAAATACTAATTTATTTCCCAATTTCAACACCCAGGTACCTAGTGTTCCTTATAATGCCTTTTCAAGTTATGAATCCCAGGGACCACCACCACCACCTCCAAACTTTGCCTTTTCAGGTTGTGAATCCCAACCACCACTACCACCTCCAAACCTTTATTATCCAACTATGCATTCAGGTGTTAATTTTGCAGGTCCATATCTTTTAAATGACATCATTTCAGTTAATAATGGAGCCACATTTGCTGCTAGTCAGGGATCATCTGGATCTGGGGCAGCTAATTTAGCTTTGCCTTTTGATGATCGAAATGCGCAGGGACCATCTGGATCTGGGGCAGCTAATTTAGTTTTTCCTTTCGATGATCCAACTGCCCAGGGACCATCTGGATATGGGGATCCAAATGCGCCTGGTTGGTGGCCATGATGAATCTTTTTCTGTAATCCGAATATATTTCTGAGTATGGAGGAATTTACTTAGTTTTGGTATGATTGGTGTCTGATGTTATCCTTTCGATGTTGTTTTAACTTGGTAGGCTTTTCTTGTAATCGCATTTTATGTGTTTTATTGTTGCTTTTTTTTTTTTTTGATTTTGGGTCTTGTTATGTAATACCTTATTATCTTCTATGCCAAGATGAAGGATTTATTTCTCTATTTTTTGGTTTTTGTCAATTCACGTAGTGTTCTTCCTCCTTTTCGTTTTTCATTCCTTTGCATGCTCAAGTATCTTCTATTGTGAGTACACATGATGAATTGACCTTTTTAATTTTTTTTTGTTTAAACATCAGTATACTTTTTTCTTAATAACAATTACCAGTCCACTTGTATTTTGATAAATACATACAACTATTCCAAAGTCTCATTCTGCTTAACGCCAGATTATCAAAGTTTTTATTTTTCATCTTTAGCTTTTCCTACACGAAGATTAGAATGGAATAAGTTATATACTATATACTTTCTTATATTTTCTATAAGAATATGATAAATTTTTGAGATTATGTTTTGGAAAGCAGTTTGTTGCTTCCTTATTTGGACTCATCTATACATACAATTTAACTAATAAGGCCTCTATTTCTTCAAAATATGTATGGTATTAGTTAAAGTATTTTGGTCACTATGAATGATTATTCACAAGAATATATCTTTTGAATTTATTTCAAAGCGTTAAGTTGACTAATAAAATTGTTGTAATAAGTTGAATTTGAAAAATACAAGCCTTCCTTTAATTTCTATATATGTTATTGCCAACTAATGCTCTTCCGTATGGTTTTAATTTTATCGTATACCTCCTAATGAACTTAATGGTCCTCAATACAAGAGCTATTCTATGCTAGTGATTCAAGCAAAATAGGAATGCCATCTTGTCTAGTTTATCCCAACAAATAGAAAAGAAATTAAGGTAGTAATTAATTAAACATTTAACCATAATTGGCAAAATCAAAGAAATTCGTCCCTATCCAATGCATTCAATAGACTACATACATGTATTTTTTTTTCTTTTTGAAAGAAAGAAACTCAACTTTAACATATGACATGCGTAGGTATAGATATGCATGTTTGTTGTGCACATATAATTAAAAAAAAAAGGAGAGTGAAGGAAAAAAGTTTGAAAGATTTGATGGGGTTTTACATATAGCGATTGGTTTTCTTTTTTTTAGAGGCATTAAAATGGGGAAACAATTTGTTTCTGTCATATGTAGTTATCATCAACAAAAATTGTTGATGATTTAAGAAGTATGTTAATTAATAATATGCCCCAATTGTACGTTTCCGTATAAAAGTGTTAGGCGTTAAGAACATGTTACCCAGATCAAAACTATGAATCCATATACACACCTATTAAATCGTTACAAGTTCAAATTTCCCAAAATGATTGAAGAAGTACATACAAATTCATCTAATTTACTACTATTTAACTCCAACACAAAAAAGAAAACTGCAGTTTAAAACAAGTAGCAAACGAATTGTGCGTGTTTGGTCATCATAATTTTGGATTTTCCAAGGGTCTGGTTGTTGTAATCCACTTGTTGAGTGAGTTTCAATCCAGACTTTAAACTCTCCAAACAAGTCAACAACTTTCTCTAGTTGAATCTCTTCATAGCCACTTTTAACTTCCAGCTTTAGATCTAATAAGGTTGAAGTCATGGTGATATCCGTCTACTGCCTAATAGCCCTCTTGAGATTCAAACTTCATAGTTACAGTAGAGTTTTGTAAACAAGTATTCACACAAATCCATTCTAGTATATTTGAATATGTTTTCGATATTTTCACACATTATGATAGTTCTTTTTGTTTCTTGGTAATGCATTATGATAGTTATACCAAGGTTTTGTTGAAAAATTTCTTGAAAAAAAATGTAACGTCAATATTGATGGACGTAAAATTCTTTAAAATTTAATGTAGTAGTTTCAACATGGTCATTATTATACATCATTAATTTGATTATTGTAAGTCTAATAAATTGCTTCTAAATACTTAAACGTAGATTTTTAGATATATTTAGAAGTTAAGAGTTATAACTTTTTTCTTATTATAGAGTTGTCGATAAATTAGACTTCTCACTAAATAAACTGCAACCTTCTCTTGATAAAAATTTTACGTTCTAAATATCTCTGCTCTTTTTCATCTCTTTCCCAACAAAGTGGTATCAAGAGCTTAGGTTCAATTCGAGATACCTATGTGAGAGAATTAGTGAGGCCCTTCTAACAGACAAATTCTTTTTAAGCTAATCTTATTTTATCAATGGAAAGAGGCAATAATTTCATGTCTACTCCTTTAGTTTTTAAAGGAGAAAAGTTTCATATTTGGGGTGTGAAAATGAAAGTCTACCTAGCAACAAAGGTATTCTAGGATTTGGCGGAAAATGATGTGTTTCAACTACTTTCTGAGGATCCAACAACTGCACAAATTAAAGAATTCAAGGTGGCTAAAATGAGGATGAACAAGGCCAATACACGTATTCACTTTGTTATATCAAAAGAGGTGTTCACAAAAATCATGACTTGCGAGACTGCAAAACATACATGGGATATTTTGAAACAAGAATATCAAGGCAATGTGAAGACAAATCGAATACAAATCTTGAATTTGAAAAGGAAATTTGAGATGCAGAAGATGTCGGAGACAATCATTGAAGGACTATAAAGATCGATTGATGAAGGTAGTCAATAAAATTAGTCTTTTGTGAGAACAACTTCCTGATAGTCGAGTTGTTGAAAGAATATTGGTGACTTTACCAAAAAGATTTGATTCCAAGATTTCATCTCTTGAAGAAATTAGAGATTTATCAGCAATATCTCTACCAAAACTTCTTTCAACCTTTGAACCTCAAGAGCAAAGAAGAGTTTTTAGAAATGAAAAGTAGATGTTATTGAGAGAATTTATGAAGTGGACGAAACTACTAAAGGTAAAAAGTGAGATAGGAAGGTAATTGGAGACAGTGACAGCAAAGGAAAATATTCTCTTTGTAAATAATGTAAGAAACCTTCACATTTATTACAATATTGTTGGTTTAGACCTGATGTTCAATGTAGTGGTTGCAAATAATTGGAAGACATAGAAAAATTGTGCAAGAACAATCCATAAATTAATTTTGTGGATCAAGAAGATGAAGATGAAGATTAAGACTTGATTTGATGATGCAGGGATTTGCATTTTAAAAAAAAGAAAGAGAAAATTGTTGGTTAAATTTTTTTTTACTGCAAACTAGTTAGAGGAATGATTTTTTATTTAGGATTGGGATTTATCTTGATTATTTGAGTTGAATTTGTTTTGGAGATTTTTTAGTATTTGAACATAGATTTTTAGAGATATTTCAGGAAGTTAAAGTTTTTGTTTTTTGGGTTATTGTAGAGGTGTTTATAAATTAGATTTCTCGTACTAAATAAAATACAACCCTCCCATGATAAAAATTTTACATTCTACAAATCTCTGCTTCTATTCATCTCTTTCCCAACATAGTAAATGGTCATTACGGATAGATTCGAGTTCGATATTTAACTGTTAGGGCAGTGATTTGCGTCTCTCTTCTAATGTGAAGAACCAGAATTCAATTTTTGTCCGCCCATTTGTTGCCTTTGAGAAGTGTGTCTTTCATCGTCTATCTTTATCCAAGAACCAACAAAAAAACACAGTTTCGATTGAAAACGAAACATTTAGCTAGATGAATAACAAGCTTAGCTAGATAGTAGTCAAAACAAAAGCCTAGTGTTCCATTAGAGAAGTACTTAAATTTGCAATAGACAAATGACATCTATTTTGTTCTCAAACCAATAATAGCTAATTTTCGACTGGAGAAAAGCTAAAATTTACAGCAGACAAATGTCAACAATACTCTGTTGCTCCGAAACAATTGCACCATAAAAATATTTCTACTGCTGCATAAAGCCATAAACTGTAAATGAGAAAAAAAAAAGGAAATAAAAAATAATCATTTCATTCTCCTTTCGTGTCCATAAGCCTTCGGCAGCTCTTTTTGTTGAAGGTGCTATTTGCTAGATCTTTAACTTTAGACTAAGTAACTTTAGTGGGCAATTTCATAGCGTCAAGTTTTCATTAAAAAAACAAAAAAATAAAAGTGTTCGGGGCCAATAAGGCAATAACATTACTAAATTCATACACCAGCAACGCAAATGTAAAACTAACAGTACTACTACTATATGTCCTTAAGCAGGCTCGACAAACTTCAACACTACTTGCATTTTTCTTGCAAGTTAAAGAACTCAATCAATAAAAATGGCGACTTCCACTTAAACATTTTCCCAAATTAACCATCCTTTTTCCTTTCCATGCATCTCCCTTTCCATCTGCCTCTCACCTCCATCTCCATCTCTCGGCGCCAAGTGCAATACAAATGGCAAAGCTTTTATTTATTTATTTATTTATTTTGTAAAAACTGTAAATATATTATATGTTCTTGGATCAATAGAAGTTCATTTCACCTTCTACCAAATTACAACATTTACAATGCCAATAATCTATTACATAATCACTTCTCCTACTCATGGAAAGAATTGGTTTAGGATCAGTCGTTCTTTGACTCTCCATGATATCCTGTTTTGCAGTTAAAAATCTTGATTCTTGCATCTCTTTGTATCAACTGATTATTGCAAATGACAAGGCTGCCTTTTTGCGCTTCGAAGTAACCATGAACAACCCCTACCTTTTCAGTTTTAAGTGGCATTTAAAAAAATACTGATAAAAGTAAAGCTCTAAGAATTAGCTTGGATCTCTTTAGAAAGTCTCCCCAGTATGTTCCAAGTCTCAAGATGTCACGTCCATCTGTGGCGTGACATTTGTGTAGAATTGGATCTTCTCAAGCAGCATCCTATTCGAATCAGGCTGGGCGTGAAGGTGCTACTTATTTTCGTTCGATCATTATTTTTATGAAAATAAGCCACAGTATTGTGTTCACTGTAAGAAGATTGGACAAGATCATCATTCCTGTCGATATAATACAAAGGCATCATCTATGCGAAAGCTTCAACAATCAAAGCCGCAATCAAAGGAGAAGGAAGCCGCTTTGCAAGAATTGAATAAATCAGCTCCGAAAATCGGAGAAAAAACTTCGGGAACTCAAGTTGTGAAGGAAAATCCATCAACCTTATCTAATGTTGTGCCTATTACGGCTGTCGCAAACTCATCCCTCTCTGATATTGCGCATGTTATTGCACTGGAAGTTGCATCGGGCTTGCTGAAGATGATCATCGATTGAAGGCCGAGCCATTGTGCTTGCTGAGTTCGATCCGAATGTCTCTGCTTCTCCAGCGATGGTTGCTGCCAGCAAAGGCGGGGAATCGCAGATGGTAGCCTCGCTTGCGGAGCATCATTCCCCCCAGCCGCAGCCCCTTACGAGCCAAACTCTTGCTGAGAACCAGATTGATGATGCCGGCACTGATCTACGGTCATACCCAGCCGTAGCTACTGCAGTGAAGCAAAAGACGATCGTTTCCACCAGCAGCGGAGGTTCAGAGTCGTCACCAGAAGCGCATCAACATTTTGCTGAAAAGCAAGCATCGGAGGAGGTTGCCGCCGCTGGGAATTCACCATCCGTCATCAGAAGATTCGCTGATCTTTCATCGTCGGAAGTTGCATCAACGACAGAGGCAATCCGGCATACCTCCCTGATTTCGCTACCTCAAAATCCCGCAATTTCAGATTGGAACCGCAGTTGTCGCAGTCTCGTTACTTCAGCGTCATCAGCGCAGCCGACTCCCTTTGACCCAGCTTGTTTAACTTTAAACGAGGATAAATCGCAATCAGCTCCCAAAACTTATCCGGAAGGTTCAGCCTCAAAAGAAGAAGGGTTTAAGTCAAACTCTATCCAATCCATTCTTTCAGATAACGAAAATTTTATTTCTAAAAATAGCTTCAATAGTGTCTCTACAAAAAAATAAAATCTCGCAGCTACTGGTTTTTCCTTCTCCCCTAGACCACAAGTGCCTCCTCTTCAAGTTTTACTTCCACTTTCGGATTCAAACATAGGGAAAAATCAGCACCAATTTTTACCCAAAGATGATACGGAAGCAGGAAAAAATTCCGGGCCTAATAACCCTAGCTATTTGATTGATGAAATACATTCTGAAGGCGGAATTAATCATGACTCCAATGGTTCTGATGATGACGATTTCGATATAGAATATGCAATGTAACAAGAGTCCTTTTTCAATGAAGTTTCATCTCCAACATATTACAACCGATCGAAAAAGGGCAAGGCTAAAAAGAAAGTTCAAGTTCGTCGGTCTGCTAGATTCAACAAGGATTCAACTTTACTTTAAGATCAAAATTATATTTGATATATGGTTTTGTATATTCGCTGCCCTATTTTTTCTTTTATAATTAATAAAATTATTTTTTGAAAAAAAAAGTGGCATTTAAAAAAACCAAAAAAAAACAAACACCGGTTAGACTCGGTCTATATGTGGATAAAACTTTCCTTACAAATTCCTGGTGAGAATTGAACTTAGATCTACTCCCAAAAAAATATCACATTTTAATTATTAGACTGTTATTCAATTCTCCCAGTTTTAAGTGACATAATATATTCATTAAACTTACTCTTTGTTTTTACGTTCCCAAAGAGGGATAATAATTATCTTATAGTTAGTTCGAGGAATGAAAAGGACGGTGAAACATAAAATTGCATAAGTTTTTTTATGAACTAGTATTATTTAAGTTTGCTTGCTTATAAATCTGTAAAGATGCTTGTGCCGTTAAAAAAAAGACTAATACAACGGACGTAAAGACAACCAAATGGTCCTGTGGTAGCGTGAAGTTGCAGTAATTAAAGAAACTAAAGATCGATGGGCGCATGCAAAACATCATCTACAACATCTTTGTGGAATGAGTAACCTTTTGTGTAACATTTCAGACGACACCCTTTTCAGTTCTAAAGCAACAACGTTGCAGGTTCTTGAATTTTTTTATACTCATATCACAACTAGACTGTCTTAATGAAAATAGAACCACGAACTCATAATAACATCGATCCCCCTCTCATCTTTATGTATAATCTATCGTACCGTTCAAAATTGAAAATTTCTCTTAGAACCAATATAAATGACGTCAAGGGGGAGTCATAAAACCATGAAGTTGGACATTTACACATTTTTAGTATATGTATTTTATTAAATTAAAATAGTACAACAAAAAAAATAAAATGAGATAAAATGGGTGATTGATTTTATTTTGATGTCAAGTTAGTATGGCTTAAACATACATAATTCATTGAAATTTCGATTTGATAGCTTCAGCACACCCCCCAAAAGATATATATTAAAAAAATGAAGAAGGATGTGAATAACAACAAGAAATGTGCTGTACAAACAACGATTGAGTTGTAGAAAATGGGAGTTTTCCAAAAATTATTGATATGCTTCTTTGCGCATGTGACCTCTGAAGGGTTTTCCTTCGTGATGACCTTTGCGCTTTGGCCAATTGATCAATCCTTCTTTTTGACGTTATCCAGAAAGTAACTATTCTTCGAATCTGATACAGAGGCTTCGAGCCCCGATCCATGGAATTCCAGCTCATTAGGAGTAATACGGGATACTTTTTAATTCGGTTTTTTTTTTTTCTAATTTATGATCAAGCAATTACTACTTCCGTCCCAAAAAAATAATCCACATTGAGTTTTCAAATTTGTACTAAAAATAGTACAAAACTCAAAACTCAATTTGGACTATTTTTTAAACGGGAGTAGTATTTAGTCCATCCTTGAAAGGAAACATATTTCTAAAGCCCAAACATTAAAATTTAGAAAATAAACCGGCGAAAAAATTTACCTAGATGATTGAGTTAGCATTAATGTAGATTTTTCCAAAAAAATCAGTACTAGACGCATAATGAAACTCAAATTAATTAGATAAAAAGCTTGTTATTCCTGTTGCGGATGTGAATGCGTGACACTACTAATTAACAGTGTCAGTTACTTGTGTTAGTGAAAATAATCTTTTTAACTCCATGCCGATGAATTCGCTAATTCATACAACTTGTGTAATTGATCACTAGTCGGTCACTTGAGGAGTGTTTGAATTGCATACGACAAAAGGAACAGAGTGTCAACTTGTCAGTTAGTCATTTCCTACATTATATTGTCATGCGCAATACAGGAATAAGTTAAATCATTCTTTTCCCCTTTACATTATTGTCGCACACTATAAATAAGGACGCCTCCTGCAAAAATACAAATCCATGGAGATGGAGACTACTTCAAATTTCACACAAATCAATTTTCTTCCTATTTTCCTACTCCTTTTCCTCTTCCTTTCACTTCCATCTCCATCTATTGCCGCCGACGAAATGTGCAATCCCGGCGACAGAGATGCACTTTTACAGATCAAACAAGGCCTCAACAACCCCCAGAGCTTAGGCTACTGGGTTTCAACCAGGGATTGTTGTTTTTGGTTCGGTGTCCAATGTGATGACCTTGGCCACGTCATTGGTCTCACGATTTTTTCCCGTAATGTCTCCGGCCAATTCTCGCCGGCCATCGGCAATCTCCGGTACCTCCAATTAATTCGAATAAACTACCTCTCAAATCTCACGGGAACAATCCCTCCTACCATCACCCGGCTTACCCGTCTCACCGTCCTCGACCTCTCCGGCAACAAACTCTCCGGCCATATTCCGTCATTTCTCGGTAAACTCAAGGGTTTAAGAGTTTTAGACTTATCAAACAATCTCTTCAGCGGTTCGATCCCGGGTTCCCTCTCAAAACTACCTAATATTGTCAACCTTCATTTGGAAAACAACCGTCTTACCGGATCGATCCCGGAATCTTTCGGATACTTCATCGGAATAACTCCTAATCTTTACCTATCAAAAAATTTTCTCAGCGGCCCACTTCCAATGTCCTTAGGCTACGTGAACTTCACCACTGAAATTGACCTGTCATGCAATAATCTCACCGGCGACCCGACGTTAACATTGTTCGGGAAAAATAAGACGGTTGAGAATGTTGAGCTGAACTTCAACTCGTTTGAGTTCGATATTTCCAACGTGGTATTTCCGGACAACTTGACGACTTTGTTGCTTGATCATAACAAAATCTATGGAAGGCTTCCAGAAGGGTTGACTGAATTGAACTTGCAGTTCTTTGATGTGAGCGATAATGGGCTTTGTGGGCAGATTCCTCAAGGCGGCACACTTCAGACCTTCGTTTCCAATAATTATGCCCACAATAAATGCTTGTGTGGTGCTCCCCTTCCTGCTTGCAGCTAGTTTTGTACGTACGTACATTAATACTACACATGAAAGGTATGTTTGATAAAGAAATTGGTACCATTTTTTGTTTTTGTATTTGAAAGGCTATGGTATGTGGATGGAAGATGGATCAAGATGTCGTAGCTCGCATTCGCTCATATTGATTTAGTTTTTTTAACTTTTTAGCCTTTTTTTCAATTGTATACGAAAAACGATAGTTGCGAATAATGTGTATGACACTCTTCATCAAGGGTCCACAGTCACAGAGTAACACTACAAGTTGGTTATCAAAAACGAACTGTGACCCCACAGGCCACAAGTTCATCGACAAAGTCAATTTTAGTTCTTGATATTATGTTTTTAATTAAGGGTGTCCTTTGGAGGAAACTAGTATTATGATAATTAGGTAATTCTCCCTCCGTCCCAAAATTATTATCCAGTTTAAATTTTTATTTTCAATTCAATTTGTACTAAAATCTAAAATCTAAATTGAATAATAATTTAAGAACGGAAGTAATAGCTATGACGGTGAAGTTCTTCGGAGATGACAGGTAGACCAATCCCACCAAAAATACTAGTATATATTCCCTTCTATCCTTATTATGATTTGTTCTACACCTCAATTGTTTTTAATTAAAAATAAAATCTTTAAAATATATTTCAGCATTTATGTATATTGTGCTCTCCTAGTAGTTATTATAAACTAATTTTTAAGGTTTATTTTTTACTAGAAAAACATATCTAATGAAATTTAAGACAAATCAAAATATCTAAAGAATCGGAGGAGATATCTAGTTCCAAATTTTAGAAGCAAGCAACAAAAAGGATTGAGCTACTCCTATTACATTTTTGAATAGGATAGATTATCACGTATATTTATAAATGAAGAAACTGAAACTAATAATGGTTCGGGTTGTAAGGGGGTTATATAATGACCAGCCGAACCTCCTTCCTTCTGCACCCGTTTTTGGTTTCATATTGGAGCTCTAGGGATAATAAGGGGGTTATATAATAAGCAAATCCAAGACAAGGCATTCTCCACCGAAAAAATCCAAGAAAATTCTCCACTAAAAATTATTTATTCCAACACACTTTTCTTCCCACATAGACCAACTGAAATTAATAAGGGGTTGTATATTTATAGATAGTAATTCTCCACGAAAAATTATTTATTCCAACACACTTTTCTTCCCACATAGACCAACTGAGATTTGTAAATTCTTGGCCAAAACCCAATTGATAAAAGCTTCCCCAAGTTTCTCTTCAGGGCCAAACTAAATCAAGATGTCACAATATCCAACTTATTATAACAATCATTGTAATATGTCAGCTTTTGTCCTTCAAATCTCCATCTCATTATAACAATCATCATAATAATATGTGAACTATTTATGATATAGTACGGTTAAATTAGATAAGATATTATCTAATAATTCTATGTTTATTTAACCACGGGGCAAATAAGTTCTACTATTTAGTAAATATTTTTAAAAACGTTAATGCAAAATTACAAATTTATAAATAAAATTAAATTAACTAGGAGATTACCCCTTAATGGTAAATTTTAAAGGTACAAAAGAAAGGTGACAAAAAAACTTCAAACTAATAAATCTAAAAATAACCAACTAAAATTAAAAATTAAAAACAAAATTGATGTAATAAAAAATCCGATAGTCATGATGAGAAAAACCAATTAACTGATTAATATTGGTTTCTATGGTTATATCTTTATATATATATATATATATATATATATATATATATATCTTTATATATATATATATATATTAAAGGAGTATTTTCAATCGGACAAATGGCGTAAAACTAGATAGGCTAATCCACATGGCGTAAAATTAGATAGCTAAGTACACATGTCGTAACTACATCACTCCATCATTTAATGGTAATTTTTTATTTGTGAATCTGTAAAATATATAAATAACAAATTTTACTTAAAAGCTCTAAAATTTCATCAATTAACGGAATTATGAAAACTAACAAACCCTCCCATATATATGTCTCCCATTATCCAAAAAGGAAGAAAAGAAAAAACATAATGGTTGGAGATTGGGAGCTCTATGTCTAAATTGGCGGATAAGTAGAAAAAAAAAATCATAAAAGATGAACATAAAAATCAATCTCATTCCAAATATTGAGGAACAAAAATTAGTAAATTAATATCCAAATATTATCACACAATTTTACCGAATTAATTATGACTAACAATAATGTGCCTAATATGCTAAATAAGTACCCTTAATCAAACATACTGAATTATAATTTTCATAGTGTAAAAGTTTTTTTATACTTTGTTACTTATAAATTATATATCTAAGTTCACATGTCGTTACCACATCAATCCGTCATTTACTGATAATCTTTTAATGTAAAATTATAAATTTATAGATAAAACTAAACTAACTTGGAGATTACTCATATATTTATAGTAAATTTAAATTGTAAAAAAGAGGGGTGACAAAAAAAATTTTCAAGCCAAAAATCCAAAGATGGCCAACTGAAATAAACAACCAAAAAAATCAATTTGATGTGAAAAAAAAAAATAAACCCGGCGGCCATGATGAGTAAAACCAATTCACTGATTAATATTGATTTCTATAGCTATGTGTCAAATTGTAACCATGAATTGGGTTTTTTTCTCTTTTTTATTGGTTAGTATATTAGTTTCTCTTTCAGCTGGTGGTGCTTTGATTTTAATTTTTTATGATAATATATTATTGCTCCTTAACGCGCAATACTAATACATGATTATTGTTGATTATATTGTGTAAAAATTAAAAAGAAAAAAAGAGTAAAAAAATAATCACACTACTATAATTATATATTAATTGGCCAAATTTTAATAATATAATATATATTATAAAATAATATAATAATATATATTCATGATTTTTTTCCAGATCATATATTGGTAGAAAAAGTTAACGTTATTATGATAAAACAAAACATAGATATCAATAAGGAGAAAAAATTTCTAAAGTGAGAAAAATAATAAAAGTGTGTGAGAGAGACAAACAGTAGAATAGAAGCATCTTGAGAAATTGAAAATACTTATATGGAGAAAAAAAAAAGTAGAGAATAAAAAAATATGAAAAATGAAATCGAGATAAAAGTGAAAGATGATATAATTATTATAAAATTTTTAAGAAATTAAGCTTTAAAGAGAGATCATTAAATTTTGGAAAAAAAAGATGAAAACTATGCAACCAAAAATAGTCAAAGTAAACATCATATTATAGGAAAAATATACGAACAAACTTCTAAAGAAAGGTTGCAAAAAGTATATAGAGAGATGGACAAAAAAAAAGATAAGCTTATGGAAAATATAATGAGATCATTTTCTATTAGAAGGAAGAATTAAAAGATATGACAACAGTAGAAATATTTAGAGAAATAATTATAAAAAATTAAAAAAATACTTTCAGAATATATAATACCATAAATTAACAAAACAAAAAGATAGATAATAAGTTACATTGGATATTTTAAATACTAAAAATTATTCCAAATGTACTTAAAATAGCAAAAGACATTGACTTTAAAAACTAAACAAATGCAATTTATGTCATTAATAGTATATTTTTTTACATATCTCACTCTGTCAGAAACATCATAAAATTGTTAAATCATTAACCTCGTATATATCTTAAACGACCCGCACAATGTGCAGGTTTAACACTAGTATACCTATAAAGAATAATTACAAAATAAAAAAAAAATAGATACAAATTATAATGTGCCCAGAATTAAAATTATCCACTTAATGTAGAAACAGATTAAAAAAAATGCACATACGATTTCATCAACATCTGTATAACTTTTTTCTCGCAAATATTATTAGCATGTAACTTGGCCTGAATTATCATCCTCCCCATGGAAGGAAGGAGATTGATCATTTTCTCCAAAATGAAAAAATCTACCAAATTATTACGAACTACCCCATCCGATCCCATTCTTAAGTCATAATAACAGTATCGTCAAAATTAAGAAACTTTAGTCAAATCAGTTACTTGTCCAAACAATAGACTAAATTACTTATATCATGTCAATTAAAAACTTATTTTCGAGGAACTACTTCATTTTTTGTTAGTATTGATATTGCATTATTAATTTAAATAAGGGTTATACGTAGAAAAACATATAATAAATTAAACCTTTAACACATCAAATACTTATAAACAGGAACAATACTCTTTACCTTTTATATAAAGGGAATCATAGTACTATTATAGAACAGTACAGGTGCACAAATGATAACACAACCTTTTTGATCGTCCCGAAAAAATGATAGTGTCCCAGATGTCCAAAATAGTTGCATCATCAAGCTATAATGCATGCACAAGACAAAAGTATAGGAAGCGATTTTACCACAACAATTTCTAGCATTCAGGGTATATTTTTTTTTTTTTCACATTTGCCCCTCCGGAAATCAATCTCCTTATTTTCCTCTCTCTCGAACCCCTTTCTCCCACATCTCTCCCTCAATTAATTTCCTTCCTCTTTTGAGGTTTCTCTCACATTACAGTGTTATCATTGACTCCAAACCAGTGATGAAATGTGAACCATCAATGCATTTTTCAAGTGATGAAACAATTTTTTTGTGGCCAGTTTCTTGCCCGACTCTTCCAGTAATTTGCCAGTTTATAATAAAAAGTTTTCAGATAGTTAACCAAATCATCCAGAACAATATGCTTGGACAGACGCCTAATCTAACTATAAACTCAGAACATTAAAATAAAACACTTGAAAACCTCTCTAAACATCAGTTGTAAAGGGTTAATATATTAAAATTGATTAGATACCTCTGAATCATGTATACGAACAATAGAATCTTCAGCAGCACTTATTATTGCCATGTTCAAGGGACCCCAAACAGCCCTGTTAATTCTTCTTCGTGGGCCTTTTATTAATTGGATAGAATTAGTGGCCTCTGTAGAAACAATTACATTGCACGAATTTGATCCAATGAAATTCGCACAATAATAGCACAAAGGCTCAGTCACTGTTGTAATGAAAAAATTCTAGTTAGAGTGTGAGACTATAAATTTAAAACTCGCCTTCACAGAAAGTTAAGCAGTTACAAAGGGCGAAATCCGACCAACAAAAGAATTTCTTGGGAGACTCTAAAACTAGCCTTGACAAGAAAAAGTGAGTTACAATTTGAAAGTAAAATAAAAGGGCTAAAATCCAACTTACACTGACTAGGATCCTAGGAAATCCTTTTGACATGAATAGTAGTCGGCAACCCATAAATGGATCAGTTGTTGATTTCAAAAGCTATTCACAGTCACAGCAAGCCATGGGAGAGCCAGGGTAGGAGAGAGAGGGAGAGAAAAAAAATTAAAAATTTATATGATTGAGGGAGTAAACGAGAGATGTGGGAGAGGGGAAGATGAGGAGTTGACTTCAAGAGGGGTAGATATGAAAAAATAGAAGAATATCTCCTGTATGTCAGAAATTGTTGTGGCAAAATCTCCTCCCTAAAAGTATATTTTCCTATTCTTCTTTTTTCCCTTATACTAGTCTAGCACTATTTGGTTTATACAAAAAATATGCTAAACTTTATCAATTTTGAATTTTCCACACTACAGTTAAAAAGATCAATAATTATGCTAATTAACTATTTTACTCTCTTTATTTTAAAATAATTAATTTGTATAAAAAAATATATATCAAAAATAAAAATTTAAATTGGACGAGTATTTTGCCACGGATGGAATATATATCATAGTCAGATTTGGTATTGATTTCTATGGGGGCAAATGGACAGATTTAGACTTTCAGTAATCCTAGCTAGGTGGCTAGGCTGCAACGTACTATATATATCTCATAATATTTTCTCAATCCGTTGCTTGTGCATGCTAAAATTATACTCACAAGCCAAATTTTTGAAGATGCAGACTTCAACATTTACACCATCGATTCTCCTTCCCGTTTCCCTCCTCTTCCTCCTCTTTTTCTCACTTCCATCTCCATCTTTCGCCGCCGGCAAAAAATGCCATCCCCAAGACAGAGATGCCCTTTTACAGATCAAACAAGCACTCAACAAACCTGAGTCCTTAAGCCCATGGGATACAACCACCGATTGTTGTTCTTGGCCGGTTGTTGATGAGTTCGACGACCGTGGCCGTGTCATTTTTTGGAATTGGCTTCAAGGAAATCTCCGGCCAAATCTCCCAGGCTTTCGGCAACCTCCAAGATCTCCAAAAAATCTACATAGTAGAAGCTTCAAACCTCACGGGAACAATCCCTTCCACCATCACCCGCCTAAATCGTCTAAATTTCATCCACCTATCCGGAAACAAACTCTCCGGCCCTATTCCGGAATTCCTCGGAAGCCTCAAGGGTTTAACATTATTAGACCTATCAAACAATCTCTTCAGCGATTCGATCCCGAGTTCCCTTTCTAAACTTCCGAAAATCAGCATCCTTAACTTGGAAGGCGACCGGCTCACCGGACCGATCCCGGAATCCTTCGGGTATTTCACAGGAGAAACTCCAGCACTTTTCCTATCCAACAATTTCCTCAGCGGCCCTGTTCCTGAGTCCTTAGGCTCCTCCAACTTCTCCTACCGGATTAACTTGTCGTTCAACGATCTCTCCGGCGACCCTTCGTTTCTGTTCGGGAAAACTAAGACGGTTAACTATATTGAGCTGAGTTCTAACTCGTTTCAGTTCGATCTTTCCAAGGTGGTGTTTCCAGAAAACTTGACGAATTTGGTACTGGATCATAACAAAATCTATGGGAGTCCTCCGAAAGGGTTGACTAGATTGAAATTAGATCAATTTGATGTGAGTTATAACAAACTTTGTGGGCAGATTCCTTAAGGCGGCAGGCTTCAAAGCTTCGGCTCATCGGCCTATAGCCATAATAAATGCTTGTGTGGTGCTCCCCTCCCTCCCTGCAACTAATTATGTATCATTTGGAAACTTGGGAACCTTACGTGGAATAACTTTATCAAAATAATTTTACATAAATTTCCATACTATGTAACATTGTACCACATGTTTGTGTAATAAAATCCGCCTTTCGTTACAACTTTAATTTATCATTTACTTTGTTATGTGAATGTAATACTATAACAGAGTATATTCTGAATTTCACACTGAAAGCGTATTTGATATACCAAGTTCATGTCTTGATGTTTGAAGTTACCTAATACATATATCTATTGAACACATAATTAATTATCAGTGGATAGTCATTTTTGGATCGTGAATGCAGAATATTAGGTCGTTTATAAGTTAGTTTAAGAAATTTATAACAAGTCAGACTTCATAGTTCATACATGAACGATGTGGAATTCTTCCCAACAGTCATCTTCTAAAATTATGGACATTCCATTTGAATGTGTCCAATATCAGTAACTGCTTCGTGATTTAATGTTCATTTCATTCTATAAATTTCCAGAACATGGATGCAAATTAACCTAACTTATTGATGCGACTGGTACGAATGTAACGTTATAAACTAAGGCATTATCTGGCCTTCATTTGCAAAAATACAAATTTAAAAATAATAGTACTAGGTCTTCAAGAAATCGAAATTTTATATGCTCAAGTTATGATTAAATCCTTTTAAAAAGTTGCCTTCTTAATGTTTCTCCCCTCTTTCATATTTGCAGAGTGTCTCGGTTATTGTATCGTAAGCATTTTAACATTTAATTGTTAAAAAAAAATATACTCATCAATAATGATAAGTGACACCTTTTTAACTATCCTCGAACTCGAACATGAACACAAAGCCAAAATTATAGGCAATAAGTGGATGAAAAAACAAAATCATCATATATATATATATATATATGTGTGTGTGTGTTTCTTATAATTTTATATATATTTAAAATTTTTCTAACTCAAGACTTTGCTTTTTCATTAAAATTAATAATATTTTATTCAATAGAATTTTTTTATTAACTGGCTTAAATATGTAATACTATTGTTAAGAATTGTCTTGTTTCATATTTGTAACGTTCTCACTGTCAACAACATAAGATGACCAATTTTTTACAAATTCTTAGGTGCATACCGAACTTCCACGGTCCCCTCCCTTTTTTTTGCACATATAATGTTTATTGTACTTTTTCTCAAACTTTTTATGTTTTTCTAATCTTTGTTAAAGGAGCATATTTCTCAATCTGTGAAGAATTAAAAAACGAATTATATATGAAATTCATAATACTCATCGAGATCTATCCAACAAGATCCATATCAAATAGTTTTTTCAAAAACATTTGACTAAAGTTTGATGGACATAAATGAAATAAATTTGTATGTTATTTGGATGGATATATAGTTTTAAAAGATGGATAAGCGACTATTTTATATTGATATTCTTATAAAATTTATATCTCTCAATCCGTAAAAAATTAGACAACGAATTATACATAAAATTTCTAGTGGTCGACGAGATCTATCCGATAAGATCAATATTGAATATTAATTTTGAAGGAAAAAAATACTCCAAACAGAAATCAAAAAAGTATTTGTGTTGGATAGTCAGTACAAAAATGTTGGATAAGCACTAGAAAATCGGTCGATAGGCAGCCCGATTCAAATATACTCTCACATTTTTTGCTAATGGAAATAGGTACTCCGGAGATATTGGATAAACATTACAAAATCAATGAATAGCCGCTGCGATTTGGAGAAGCAGCAAAAATGATTGGATAAGCAGTACAAATCGGTTGGATAATCAGTGTAAAAAATACGAACAAGGATATCCAAGAATAATGTAAAAGAAAAAAAAAAGTTGGAGAAGCAATGAAACCGGTCGGTTGGATAATCGGTATGAAAACATTGGATAACCATTTTTCATAAAAATAAATAAATGATTAGACAAACAGTACAAAACCTATTTGGTTAAGCAGGGAAAATGGTTGGATAACCAATGCAAAACAGTTGAATAGTCAGTACAAAAGGCTGGACAAGGACTTTCACAAAAAAATATAAAGGAAAAATTATTGGTTGGATAATCAGTACTAAACAGTTGGATATCCATCAGTTCATTACTAATTATCCGAAAGTTTTATATTGCTTGTCCATATATTTTAACTGCCTATCCAATTAATATGATTATTCTTTATCCACCATAACATTAGACTTCAAATCTTTAACCAAACTCTATCAATATCTTAATAACAAAGTTAAATAAATGGAGATCAAATTAAATTAGATTTCTGAAAATCCAATCATGTTATAAAGGGTAGGGTTGTTCATGTTGATAATTCAAAAATGATTAGACAAGTAGTACAAACTTATTTGGACAATCAGTAAAAATAATTGGATAAGCAATACAAAATGATTGGATAAACAGTATAAACACATTGGACAAGCAGTAAGAGTAATTGGATAAGTAATACAAACTGGTTGGATAATTAGTATAAAAAAAATTGGACAATTATGTTTTATAAAAAGAACAAAAGAATATTGGATAACAATTAACAAGAAGTTGGATAATCATTATGAACATATTAGCAAATATTTTCTCTAAAAAAAGGAAAGAAAAAATATTAGACAAACATTACAAACGATGTTTGGATAAACAGTAAAAATATTGGAGAAACACTGCAAACCGGTTGGATAATCGATATGAAAAAATTGGACAACCATTTTTTCAGGAAAAAAAAAATGATCGGAAAACCATTACAAATCATTTGGATAACCAATAAAAATAATTGCATAAGGAGTATAAACTGGTTGGATAATCAGTATAAAAAATTGGACAATCATTTTAATAAAAGTACAAGAAAAAAAAAAGCCGGATAACCATCACCGATAAGTTAGATAATCAATACGAACATATATATTGGATATACATTTTCGTAAAAAAAATAGAAAAAAAAACCATTGGACAAGTAGTACAAATTCTGTTTAGATAAGCAGTGAAAATAATTGGATAAGTAGTATAAACTAGTTGGATAGTCAGTACGAAAAATTGGACAATCATTTTTATAAAAAAAAATAAAAAATAAGGTTGGATAACCATCACTAACAAGTTGGATAATCAGTATGAACATATTGGACAGATATTTTTTTGAAAAGAAAAAAAAAATTCTGTTTAGATAATCAATGAAAATGATTAGATAACTAATACAAAAAGGTTGGATAGTCAATACAAAAAAATGGACGCACAAATACTTTTTTTGTTTCTGCCCGGAGTATTTAATTTTTTTTTATTTTTTAAATTTAATATTCAATATTGATCTTATCGGATAGATCCCGTCGAGTACTTTTTAAATTTTATATATTATTCGTTTACAAATTCTTCACGAATCATGAGTTATGCTCATTTAAAGATTAGAGAAGTTTTTTTTAGAGGAGAGAAAAAAAAAAGTAATAGGGACTAAATTTGTAAAATATAAAAAATTATTTAGAAAAAGTATAATAAAGACTGATAATGCAAAAAACAGTAAGAAGATCATAGTGGTTCCCAATACACTCAAGATGGTCTCAAATTTTTCGCGATCTACGTACCACTCATTCCAAATCAATTACTGAACTTATTCCAGTTCAATTCCATGTCTTAAAGCGTGATCAAATATCAACGGTAAATATTCTCATCACAAAATTATAAACACCTGAAATGGATGCGGAAAAAAGTAAAAATAGATAAATTCTTATTACTCAATCACATTAAAATTTGTTTTTCTTCTTCCGATCGACTTTTCCAATACATTACAGTGCTACGAGGTTCCTTGACCACCCCCCAACCCCCCCAAAAAAAACCCACCAAGCTCAATTATTGAGATACGCGCTCCTATTTGATGTTATCCAGGATTCCAGATGGTCCAATACTCCATTGCTTAGAAATAAATCAATAAGGTTTCAACTTTCAAATCTGAAACAAAGGCCTTTTTAGCGGACGATGCATGGAATTCCAGCTCATCAGTCAACACCAATAATTATGTTGGTCAAGATTAGCCATCGTCAAAAGAAGGCCCACATATCCAAACTAGTTATTACGTCCGTCAATTAGCCATCATGCATGCATGCACAAAGCAAAAGTTCTTTCTTAATTTACCTATAAAATCTATGGCTGCTAATTGCTCGGTTCGGCCGTTAATCAGTTCGGATTAATCAATTTTTTCACTTCCTAAACCCAATCAAAATCAAACCGAAATTTATTGCTTCCCGAACCGAATCGAATTGAAAAAGCAATCGTTTTTCGATTCGGGGATCGGTTAACCCGAAATAGGCCAAAGAGGCCAAAATTTTTAAGATTTTCAGATTTTCAGTCACACAGAGACACTACCATTTTCCTTTGAAATTCATATCAGCATCAAAAAAATAGACTAATTGACATCTCATTTTAAAGTTTATTTCGACATTTTGACTTTGTTTCAAAGTGCACAGCAATAAGCCAATAACAGCAATACAGTTTTTCACTATCCACAGCAATAAGCCAATAACAACAATACAGTTAACTAGACAGAAGCAGTACAGTTTTTCAGCAATACAATAATAGCAAGATTTTCAGTTTTTCACAGTCGCCAGAAATGATCAACAAACTACATTAACTAGTTACAGAAAAAGATTTGTTTCAACTTTCACAGCATAAAAAGCTGAAGTTTAGAACAGAACAGCAGTTTAACTTCATTGTTCAGTCTTCAACGTGTTTCAATGCTTCAATTGGCAGCATTGTAGATATACATACTTGCAGCAGGCATAGGCAATCAACATTCAGCAATCTGGAATTTTATGTTTAAGTCAGCAAATTCAGAAACAAAGTAACTCATGCAACAGGAAACAACCATCTAAATTTTACCTATCATTTAAACGTCCAAACAGTTTGATCCCGACAAATCCACAGAGTCTGATTCACCAGCTTTCATTTCCTTCTCAGCAGCTGAAACAAGGAAACAAATACAAACAGTCAATATTCAATCAAATGAAAACAAGTAGTGAAAAAATTAAATAAAAACACAAACTGTAACAGTGTAACCTTCTTAAATCTATAGGAGTTCTTCCCAACTTTCTTTGACACCTTCTTCAACTTCTCGCCGAAGCCAATTTTGAGTGCAAATTA